AGGACACTGACCTTAAGGAGAACACAAAAGCAGCCACAGACACACAAGAAGCACCACCAAGCACAGACCTAAAAGCTCCACAGAGCACAGACTTAGAAGCAAAACCAATCACAATCACAGAACCGTTAAATTATCAGGGTCAGTCATTCATGTGAGAACAGTTCAATTATCAAGGTCAGTCATTCATAAGAGAACTGTTCAATTATCAGGGTCAGTTGTTCATAGGAGAACAGTTCAATTATCAGGGTCAGTCGTTCATGTAAGAACAGTTCAATTATCAGGGTCAGTCGTTCATGTAAGAACAGTTCAATTATCAGGGTCAGTCGTTCATGTGAGAACAATTAAATTATCAGGGTCAGTTGTCCATGTGAGAACAGTTCAATTATCAGGGCCAGTCATTCAAATGAGTACAGTTCAATTATCAGGGTCAGTCGTCCATAATAGAACAACTCAATTATCAGGGTCAGTTGTTCATATGAGAATTGTTCAATTATCAGGGTCAGTCATTCTTAAGAGAACTGTTTAATTATCAGGGTCAGTCATTCATAAGAGAACTGTTTAATTATCTGGGTCAGTCATTCATAAGAGAACTGTTTAATTATCAGGGTCAGTCATTCATAAGAGAACTGTTTAATTATCAGGGTCAGTCATTCATAAGAGAACTGTTTAATTATCAGGGTCAGTCATTCATAAGAGAACTGTTTAATTATCAGGGTCAGTCATTCATAAGAGAACTGTTTAATTATCAGGGTCAGTCATTCATAAGAGAACTGTTTAATTATCAGGGTTAGTTGTTCATAAGAGAACTGTTTAATTATCAGGGTCAGTCATTCATAAGAGAACTGTTTAATTATCAGGGTCAGTCATTCATAAGAGAATTGTTCAATTATCAGGGTTAGTTGTTCATATGAGAACAGTTCTATTATCAGGGTCAGACATCCATGTGAGAACAGTTCAATCATCAGGGTAACAGTGAGAAACAGTATCAGGGACAGTCATTCATATGAGAACTGTTTTATTATCAGAAAAATAAATTGTGGCATGCCCTCTAGAGTCTCACCAAAACTGTAGTTACAGTTACAGTTATCTATATTTCCCGAGTATCTGAATTTCACTAGTTTACACTTTGAGCAAATGTCTCCTGGGCCTTCGTTTGGTACCTCCTTCTTTCTTCATCACTCACTGTGTTCCCCAATTCAGATATCTTTGAGTCGACTTCACGCATGCTGCATTTTGGATTGTCCTTCACAACAGTTTTCCACATTTCCTTTGAAAATGTAATATAAACTGTACATGGTTTCTTTAGAGGATGTTTTTTTGCAAGTTTGGGGTTACACTCATCTCTTTTGCGTTAGTTGGAATCTATTCTTAACTGTTTTTTCAGTTCCCTGTGACCCCTAACAGTTTGATGGTTGTTTATCATTGCTGATTTTGAAAAAAACTTGATGCGAACCACATCTGTATCAGGAGCATTTCTGATGGCTGTTAGGTCAAGTAAATGATTTGACATTGATGGAATAATGTTACTGTCCCGTGCCTCAATAACCTTTGTCTTGGACACAAATTGCCAACCTAAGCGGTAGGCCATGATGAGAGTCTTATTCACTTTATGTGTTGCCTTATTTAGTTCTTTTTGGGGTGTAATAACAACAAACGAGGCATCTGCTGCTTTTTGAACATCACCAGTACAAACTTTGCTGCCCAGCTTTTCAATAATAAAAGTAACCTTTTCTGTTGTGAGCTTCTCTTTATCACCACGTTCCACAAGACTACCCGATATGACAAATGTTTGGTCTTTAAGAGGCAAAGGTGGTGGTTCCCTCAGGCAGTTAAGAGGAACAATTACTGGTCGATCTTTAGAGGTAGTGGCTATTGTTACATGCTTCTTCCTAGGTGTCAAGTTGATGAGCATTCCCTTGGTTGGTTCCCTGTTTTCATCAGTTACAAAGACAACCGTTTGTCCACGCCTGAATGCTTGATGATCTGTAATATAAGCAAGTTACAAATTAGTATTTAAAATTCATTCATCTGTTTATACATCAAGATCAGATGTAGGTGCAATAGGAATGAAGAGCAACAGAAGTTTATCCACTAAAAAGGAAAGCGCAGTTATTGTAAAAGCAAGAGAAAATCTTTCTGGGATTTGTTTTGTACCTTTGCACCTTACTTTAGTTCATTTAGCAAAGAAATTAAATGTGTACCAGTCTTGTTATCCTGAGAAGATGGGGTGTTTGTTTGGTTCAATTGAACTCGGGCCTGCTCTGGAATGTCATCGATGGGTGGTATGTCCGTATCAGCAAGTACAGAAGGTGCTGGGCTGTTGGCAATTTCAGGGCTCACTGGTTGAGGCTGCTCACCAAATTCTTCCTCAAAATTTATACCTGCCCCTTCACAACATTTACGTAGAAAGTTCTGGAACTCATCTCTTGTGTGTTGGTTTTCCATCTCAATCTATTTTTGTAAACGTCTGTAAGTCCATTTAAACAATGACAAGATTGGTTCATCTTTACGCCATCCTGTATGTGCCTAGTACAGGCACTGGTGAAGATAATGGCAATGCTCACCACCCTCAGTGCTTCCACAGAAAAGCGAGTGAAAGGGGAGTTCTTTCAGTAGGAGAGGAACAATGTCTGTGCGAGTCATCAAGTAGGGATAAAGGCGAGAACTACCATAGCGCAATAACATTAGTCCATGGTGCAGATCAGCAAGCCATTTGTATTCTTCAATTTCTGATTCCAACAGCCCAAATCTGTAATCTGAGGCACAATTTGAACCAGCAGTTGAACCTGGTAATAAATTTAGTTCAGATTTTCTTGGATCTGGATCTTTCCGACAGATGACATGCATTTTCCAGTGTGTCTCCCAAATCTTCTATGAATGTCTGGATGCAACTATATCATACTGTGGCTCATAATATTTTCGAAACCATAAATTATTTGCATCAACAGGTTAGTTAAGTGTTTGCCTAAATAAAACTCCACCACTGATAACATACAAATGATAACCAGTACAGCTTCAAAGTTGATGAAGTTCTTGTTTAAAAAAAATATTCATAATAAATTCATTTTACAACCATTTCAATAACTTATGCAAAAGGTAAAGGAAACTTACCATTCTCAGAAAGAAACTTGTCGATAGAACTAAAGCCATGTTTTTTTACTTGCTTTTGGAGACCAAGATACTCTAAAGCGACGGTGACATTAAAGTAAACATCATCTCTAATTTTATAGATGTTAAGTTTTAACTGGCCATCCAATGCTGCTTGTTTTCAAAGCCAAAGGAGCTCTCAATTGTAAATCGGCCATCCACTATAGTTATTTCTATCAGGTAAAAAAAGGCCATCAACATTAAAATCACGGGATCAAGCCCGGTTCGACACGGACGAATGTTGAACAAGCTGCTCGTTGAACTGTAACACGCTTCCACTTAGCAAACACGCTTCCACTTAGCAAACAAAGCTTTCCAAATTTAACGTAGTTCGCTTCGAATTCCTCGATCTATTCTAGTTTCTCCGACCGCTTTCAAACAGGTTTAATAAACAGCTTCCATCTACGACTCCCAGTGGAACGTGACGTAAAATACGTCGCGCGTTACTAGGTAACAGAGCTCATAAATATGCACGAACCCCACTTGAGTGGGATTCGCAGAATTACACACTTTGTCCGTGATGAAGTCGTCATGATTTTCAATTCAGCTGTGGTAGAGATATGATTCATTTTGGAAAAGGAAAAGGTAACTTTTGAGCTCGGTTATGAAGAATAGACGGTGTTTGTCTTGTGATTAGCGTTTCCTTCCATTCTTAGTTTAAAGCTCGTGAAAAGATGAATAACATTTCTGTATACACTGTTTTCTTTCTAAAAGATACCTCTCCTTCAATTAGAACTCTTTTGTTAATTACTTTTTTATACACAGTCAATATGTAATGGGCGTGACAGATAACTCTTGGCACTACGTGTGTGTGCTATTAGATGGCAACATCGGACTACTAGCCGTATTCAAAGATGGTCACAGGAATTTTAAGGAAGCTCGCAGGAGGACAGCCAATTCTGAATTTTGGACGGCGGGTAATAACAGGATAAGAAATTATTCTCGCACGTGGACTATTTGGAAGGCGTTAGCTATAAAGCATACTCTGATGCATATTACACGTTCTTGAGCAGAAGCCAAGTGGTAAAAGCTCGGAAGGTGGAGTGTGTTGGACTGTATCCATTTGATTGTATTCTTTTGGGACAGTAGGAGATATAATTGAAGGAGACCTTATTCAATCTAGGCGTTTGGTAGCAATGTATTTCAAGTATGTCACTTTGTTTATTGTAAAAATGTAGATATTTTGTCAAAAACCTGTAACGGAAGGCAGCCAGCAATAATTAGGTAATTATGGCAGAGGAAAAAAAGTTAAACTAATTTGAGCTTCCATATAAAATATATTCAAAGCAATTTGTGTTTCGTATACCAGCAGGAACCATGACAGTTGGCTTCAGGAAAACGAACAACAGTGACTCAGCTGTTCTTGGCAAACTGAGTGGCCTCAATATATGGAGCTACCCTGTCTCAATAAAAGAGATTCTGCGCATGTCATATGGCTGTGGAACTGAAGCAGGAGACTCCAAATCTTGGGAAACAGTCAGGGATGAGATAACTGAAGAAGTTGAGGTTAAAGACTCCAGAACTTGCAAGGAAAGAAAAGGCAAGTGTTCTGTAATGAGCAGAAATTATCTGTAAAGCTTAATTCTACTTTGTAATTAATAGGATGCTGTTAAGACTGTTAAATAAGTAAGGTATGTCTTTTCGCTATGAAAATGGTATGCTTTCTAACTTTTTTGTTTTCTCGTAGAAGAAGAAGAAAGATTCTAAGAAAATTAAAGACAGAGGTTTTAAAAGAAGACGCGTGTTGAGTCACATAACAAACTTTTATTTCGATAACGCTGACAGTACGCCCCAAGCTTCCTTTTTCTTTATTTGGGTGCCCATATAGTATCAACAAGCCGTTTTGTTCGTTTCCGTCATTGTTTGTTCGAATATCGTTGGCTACTTCAGTCATAGGATCTTTACAAACTAATGAATGTTTATTACTTGGAGTATATCGTGCATAAATGTAAAAATACGGCGGGACAATTTTGAAAAATTAAAAAAATGTGGCTTCCTCTACTACGCGACTTTCGTTTAGAGCTTTTCGTTATTTTCGCAATCGTTCGGCAAGATCTGAGCTCTTGGTCTGTGAACAAATTTATGGTTACTAATGAATGAATACCATAAAGTTCTTTTTGCTAAAAGAACTGAACTCAATATGTTCTCAGTCGGCAGACTTGTGGCAGATGGCATTACGGCCCACGTCAATCAAAGCGCTCTTTTTGTGAGTCCCCTTTACGATGCATCGCATGATGGCAAGAGTCGATGTCTACGGTTTCGTTACATGCTGCAAGGACCTGGGGAGAAAGCACTGACAGTTTACTGGAAGGCAAAAACTTCTCGTGAAATACCTATTTGGATCTCAAAAGGCAACACCCGGGGGAACTGGGTTTATGGTCAGGTTCAGCTCAGCTCCATTTCAGACTTTCAGGTATGGAATTGTGCTTCTTCACCTTTTCTTAGATTTGCTCAAGAGAAGTAGACCTACTTTTTTGTCCCTTTCGTCTATTGGACAAAACCATCAGCTTTTCGATGGTGGTGCAATAAGTTACATCAAAACAAGCTGTCCATAAAACTGTGCAGACATATCGTTTACATCTGGTGGAAATTTTTTCTGATTTGCCACGCGAACCTTAATCTATCATGCTTATCCCATCCCAGCACCACCAACATCGCGAGCGCACTAATAAAGCCCTCAGGCACTAGGAACTGCGATGAGATTAGTAATTAATTGCAGAAATTGTTTCATTACCGTGAAAGGTGCTTATAAAAGCGGAAATGGAGAGGAGAGAAGACTTGATAGCGTTGACAGGGCTGTACATCGACGAGGAAATAAATTGCAGAGTGACGCCACTGTCGGCGAAAGAAGGTGGAGTATAGCAATGTGATGAGATAGAAAGGGGGAGAATTTTTCCATGAAATTACGTAAGGGCGCCATCGCCACTAAACTTTGAAACAATTGTGTTCTCGAAGCTATTGAAATTGTTATCGCGCAACTCTGGGTCTATGCTGCTGCTGTTATTTGCGCTCATGAGGCACTGCACAAGTACTTCGTGTCTAATGATAGTGACACCGGTCAGGTTGTTAAAGCAGACACTTCTTAACATTCTCGCCTTCATCTGTTGTTTCTCTTTCAGCTTGCAACGAGAACTTAACCAACGAAATAGGATATTTCTTCTCTCCTTCATATCCTGGAAATCTTCCAGATAATACTTTTTGCAAATGGCACATCACCGTCCAGGAAAACCACATCATTCGTTTGGAATTCCGAGAGTTTTTACTCACGAACCACCCCACATGCGAGAGGTGTTTCCTTCAAATCTTTGATGGACGTGATTTATCTGCGACCGCAATAGGAAAATTTTGCGGCTATATGCATCCTCCAGTTGTCATTTCCTCATCAAACCATTTCACGATTGTTCTCCGCTGTGTTGAGGGTTTCCGAATGACAAGATTCAAGGCCTTTTATCATTCTATTAGAAGTATGTTATATCTCAATGACTTTAAATTTTAAAAATATATCGACCTTTTTTATATGTATAAATCTTGGCGAAATTGAATTCTGGAATTAAAAGATAAAAATGCAATGGATGACCAAATCAATGCAAGTTGCGGTTGAAGTAGGTTTAATTGGTCTACAGGTCACTGGGTCACTTTCCTAAACATTTGGTGGAGATGTTTTTCGGTGAAATATGAAACTTTGTCTTTTAGCTCGCGGCAGAGAGTTTGATGCGGTGTAGTATTCAATCATTACTCCAAACAAAGGTAAAATGCCAACTGAAATGCGTAGTGGAGTACCTTTAACGATATTTGATTTTTCTCCCACTTCTCTGCATCAGAATTAATAGTACTAAATTGAGAGAATCGTATGGCAAAATCTGTACCGGTTGTGAGAGATATCACAATTTCCGAGTTTGAGATTCCACCTTGGGAAAAAAAAAAGTTTTTAACCGCAATAGGAAGGGTAATATCAGTGACTGTGACAAAGCCATTAGGGCTTGTCGTAACTAATGCCTTAACTGCAAATTGGTGGCTACATCTACGTTTTCCATTTTTCAGCTCAAGATTGGGAAGGATCGTCTTGCTTACTTCATCAAGGTAAATGAATGTTCATCGATAAACTGACTTCTTGAAATAATTTTTTTCCAGTTTTTATCCAAATGACGAATGGATTGAAGGATGATGTTAGATATTAACTGAATGTCGAAAATCGTTTTTAGAGTGCCCATCAAGCTGCGAGTGTAAGGAGTTTGGTGAAGTAGACGACAAGAGGATTCTGGTTATTGGAGAAAAGTTGCTGGTTGTACCGAGTAATCTTCCTTCAAATACTGGAGCAGTGTATGTTTAACCGTTTTCCCGGTTACCATCATTATCACTACTCATTATACTTACAATCACCCAGTCCTTCTGCTTACATACACGGAACAAATTAAAGAGATTTGGCATGATGTCTAGGGTAATCGTCAAACGGCAAACAACAATATTGAACTCGATAGCGCCTTCTTCCGGCCTTTGGCTTTTTGAAGTGGAAATAATTTGACGTGAAAAAATAAATCTATGTTCACAAAAGGTTATTAAACAAAAAACCGATCCTAATGCTTTGTTCATTTTAGGGTTAAAGGAAATGTATGCAGTAAACGTCACGCGTAAACTCTCTATATTGTTTACGTGCACACATTAAGCTGTTTAAGGTTTCCTTGATTATTTATATAAGTTCATATTCAGGCGATTCCGTATGAAGGCCATATTTTTACAAGATAATGTGTCTCTATTACAATCATATTTACCAGGGTTTTTCGTCAAAATTGGATCTCGCAACTTCGCGAGAAGGAGTTTTCAGACCTTATAACACTCGAGTATATGTGAGTTGAACGCCATATTCTCTGTTTTTATAAATGGTAGTGCTAGGTTTTCGTTGAAATGCGAAAACCTTTAAGATGTCAAATAGATGTGTGTATGTTAAACCAACCCTCTGATTCTTCACGCTATCTTAAGGTTCGCTGAGACAAAAATGATATATTTCATAGTGTACCATATGTCTACGAATTTTATTCTGCAGTATGCAGAGCTACATTCAATACCTTAAAATATCTTCGAAAACAAGTTGAATAATTCTATTTGAAAAACCATACATTTTAGAGATATCAAATTAATAGTTTACATGTTCTCTTTGAAACAGTGACCTTAGCTTCAATAAGCTGCTCCGTCTGGATGAAGAATGTTTTCAAAACGTATCTTCTGTTACTACGCTGTGAGTATTGGATGGCGATTGTAGTTTAATATGAATTAGTGAATTCCAGAGAATCCTTAACAGTAAATTTGTTAGCGAACTTGTCATCTTTCTCATCTCGAATGTCCCCATGGCCGATAGGGACATTCCTCCTCATTGCTATATTCGAACCATTATTATCCTGAAGGCATCATGGGAGAAATGGATAGCCAGGGTAACGTAGTATGCGTTGATGAGAGGGTTGACGATGACTCCTCTAGATAAGACAACTTTTGAGGACGTAAGAGAAGCATAGATCAGTGCTCCAGAGGAGATCTTCTCAATGCATCCGTCTCGCATTATCACTTAGATTTGTTGAAAGGAACTGTTAGAATCTTACTGAGAGGCTTTCTTGTGTTCTTTGCAGGAGACTGAATTCTAACTTTCTTCGAATTCTTCCTATTGGAGCATTCAGCGAGCTCCCTAATTTAAAAGTCCTGTGAGTATATCCAAATATAATCCCATTCTTTCACATTGCATAACATCATGAAACGACGATCGACAAGATCTCGATTGAGTGGGCTCAAGAAACTGTCTATTTTATTTCAGTGACTTAGGAAGTAACCTTCTTAGCAGTATCAGAAGTGGAGTGTTTGATGCACAGTCAAATTTGAATGTTTTGTAAGTACTTATTTTCAATAAAATTTGAAAGCTGACAAAGATTGAGAAACTTGTAAAGCATTATTTTGGCTTTGTTTTTAGAGGTTTACGTGCAAACCAACTAACGGATTTGCAGTATGGCGTTTTTGACAACAAAAGCAAGATGACTCATTTGTAAGTAAAAGGTTTTCTTTTGTTCTAAGCCAATCGCCAAAGTCATACCATTGCTATTCAAAACAAACGGAAGGGTCATGATAAGGAGTTTAGTTACACGGTGAACTGGAAGTCATATGTCTAACTTAATACTTTATTAACCATATTCGAAACGTAACAATGGACTTCTAATTTTTGTAAGGTACCTTCAGGAAAACAAGCTGACAGCATTGCCAAATGGCTTGTTCAAAGATCTCTCCAAGTTGGAAGTCTTGTGAGTGCTGAAAAGGAAATTAATGTCTTCTCAAATTACTCAATCTGCTGTGAAGGGAAAATTTGCTAACTTCTTGTTTAAACCATGATAGTTTCCTTAATGGAATTTTGATTGTGCTTATTGTTTAAAGTAGGCTGAAAGTGACATTGACATACACGTGAAGAGGGTTTTCGCTGAAACAAATTTGCCTATAAATCGTGTTGAGATCTTGTTTAATGTCTCTCATTCGACAGAAATCTAAGCAGCAATGAGATGAAAACAGTGACAAAGGAAACGCTTCAAGGGCTCAGTGCACTGAAATATTTGTAAGTAGTTTGAATTCTCAGCCTTGAGGGGGTCTCCCTGTGGTGATTTATCTCCACTGAAGTACGGTGTAGGTGTAATGTCCGTAGAATAAATGAGGTAAGTGGTAAAAGAGAAGTAAATTACAATGCTCGATCAGTCTGAGATTGAACCAAAGGACGTATTAACTACCAAACGCTTTTATTTGAGTTCACCCTTCGTTTTCCAAATAGCTTAAGACCATTCTTTGTGCAGTGATTAAATATTACTCTTCTCCATTTCATCAAGCCTGTGTGCAGATATTTAACACCAAATAAAAACTTTTAAACAGATCAATCAAGTGTTCTTCTTGCTTGATAAAAACAGGTACTTGGACAACAATAGATTAGCTAAAGTACCTACAGATGCATTCAACGAGCTGACTAGCCTCAAGTATCTGTGAGTAATTTACAATTGATATAGTAATAGCTACGTTTTTTTGTCTATCTAAAATGGATACTTCATAATGATAGAAATTGTCAGTCGACACTATATATGGGTATTTATATTATCCAACGTATCATTTCTTATTTGATTGATGACATTGTAGCTCAGATGTAAAGTGTTTTCGTCTTGAAAAATCCCAACAGGAAACTAGATCGTTTCATCCTTTGTTGCTACGCTAAGAAATCCGTGGAAGGAATTACTTGTGATTCTCCTACTGATGAGTTCTCCAGCTGTGACGACCTCATGAAGAACAAAACGCTTCAGATCTGCATTTGGATTCTTGGAATCCTCGCCTTCCTCGGCAATCTTCTTGTCATAATATGGCGAATAGTTGATAAAGAAGAGAACAGGGTTCATTCATTCTTGCTAACAAATCTTGCCGTAGCCGACATGTTTATGGGTGTCTATCTTTTGACAATATCAATTGTGGACGCGAGATGGCGGGGTGAATATTTTAAGCATGACACAAAATGGAGGGCTGGTATAGGCTGTCAAATTATTGGAGTCCTATCCATGCTCTCAAGCGAGGTATCTGTGCTGATTTTAACAGTCATCACCATCGACCGATTTCTTTGCATCATCTTCCCTTTCAAGTTCAAGCGTCTTACATACAAGTCTGCCGTGTTCACCTGCGCAGCCATGTGGATACTTGGCGTAGTCATCTCCGTGATACCAATCACCGGAATAGACTATTTTTACGATAAAAGTGGTGATTTCGGTTTTTACAGTCGCTCAGCTGTTTGCCTTCCTCTTCAGCTATCTGAAGGAACCCCTGCCGGCTGGGAATATTCCGCTTCTTTTTTCATCGGTTTAAACTTCGTTTCGTTCGCGTTTATCTTGGTGGCGTATATCTTAATGTTTTGGACCGTCAAGCGCGCTGCCCGCGCTGTTCGATCAACGGGTATGAACAAAGAATCTGCCATGGCCAAGAAACTTATTTGTATTGTGATGACCGACTTCTGCTGTTGGATGCCTATAATAATTATCAGCATTTTGTCACTGACGGGAAATTTCTACGATCCGGACAAAATTGCCTTCGTGTGGATCGCAGTGTTTGTTCTTCCGCTCAACTCTTCCCTCAATCCAATCCTTTATACATTTTCTACCGAGAGAACGAAACGAAGCTTAACCAGAAAGGGGAAAAATGTTACCGGCATGGTTATGAAGTCTTTGAACAGTCGCGCTCGAGGTGGGTGGAAAAATGGCAAGATTCACATTTTTATATTGAACTGTTATCACATTTTCCATGGACTTAATAGGCGGTGATTTCTTTGAAAAATGCACTTTTGTTTTTATATCTTAATGCATTCAAAATCTATAACTTTCAGTCACTTTGAAAGATATTACAAGTTTCATATTTAAAAAGACCTCCCGGAGAGCTGAGAGCCCATTATGAAGTCTTCATGGTTCCTTCTGAACCTTTTTTCCAAGTTGGCTACGAACTCCGTTACCGTGTTATCTTTTCCTGTCTATTTCTAGATCAATCTAAGGACTACCTGGGAACGTATGCTGAAAACACTTTAGTCTCTATTGCTGAATCCAGTCCTCGACCGGTTAAAAGAATTGTGGAAAAACAGGAACAGCAAAGTAAAAAAGCGAAGGCTAAGTTAAAGCTGATCGAAGTAGTGGATGTCTTTAAAGAAGACACTACAGGAAAGCGTTCAACGGTAAGAACCTTTCAAAGATATATCACTGAACTTTTCGATAGATACCTACTGAAGTAAGTTAAAGGTAGGTTTCTAACGTACATGTAGCCTTGACATTATAAACAAACCATGAATACATCGACCGATATTTTCATAAGTGCTCCTATGAACGGTCCTATTATGCAAACGCAAAACGATATTGCAAACGAGGAAATTGTGTCCTCTTGCTGTCTCCTTGCGATGTAGGGTTATGTCACAGCTTGGTGCGAGGAAGAAGGAGTACTTGGTATGGTACTACTGAAGTACTTCGGAAAGGAAATGAAGGAAGACTGGACTCGAGAGATAGATATAGTTCAAGGTCTGTCTATTAATGAAAACCCGCAAGACAACCTTCTTCATTATCGCTGGCACTCTAAAGGTAAGTGAGCATTTTTATTAAGAATGCATCCGACATTTCTGCACATGTATATGAAAAATATACACATTTCGCGGATTTAGCTAAAGAAGGCGAAAAACCAAAATCCACAGCAAAACAAAAGGAGAAGCTCTGAAAAGCGATAGTTTCTCGCTTAAAACAAGAGTGCCATTCATGAACGGAGTAAACTTAGTTGACGAGGTTTTGAATTGAAATAATCGAAATGGATCTGATGATCTTCAGTACAGTGGTTAAGTCACGTGTCTTAATAGGCAGATACAATTGGACGGCGTGCTGATACATTATAAGTAGCGAGGGCTGGAAGGAAAGGTGTAGGGGAGAGTCAGGTGCCAATAATGACATGGCTTTTGTTAGTCTTCAATCTTTCCGCGTACTACAAGCTTTTCCTGGGAAAAGCTGATCACACGTGATTAATTCTAGGCTGATTATTAAGTTTTAAATGGCAGGTTGACATATGTAAGGCTTATGATACTTTATACTATATCGTAAGAGAGGCAAGGGATTAACAGAGTAGAAGTAAATACCTAGGTTTGCTTCAGATAACGGTGGGCTGCTAAATTTCTGAGTAGCCTTTTCATTATAGTGCTGTTGTTGATTTTCAGCGTCTGAACAGAGTATTGAACAAGGCAAGAAGAAGATTCATGGGATACAAGGAAGTAGTTGGTAAGTTATCATTGGCCTAACTCTGTAACGGTCATTTAAACTATAGTTGTCTCGTTAAACTGAAGTAAGAGCATGGATATGACCGATCGAAACTTTGAATTATTTTAACTTAATTTAATTTTCATTTTGTAATTCAGAGTCCATTGTTTTATCTATGACATTTCATTACCGTACCTGCCCTTATTAAAATTGTGAGTGTTGATTTATTCCAAAATTTTTATTTTACGCTCTCCTCTTAATTAACTCTTCATTTCCTTCTGAATTTTGTTAAGGCTCATTTGTTACGATTTTGAGTCGAGCTCCACTTTGGAAGATTTTCTTTCGGAGAAAGGAATTGTTATCAACTTCGACGCGGTATGCGCTGTAGTTTGTGACGTCATCACCGCTATAGAACATCTTTTGGATCATGGAATATCTCATAACAACATCACAACTGGCAACATTTTGATCAGGCATTGTCCAAGAGTAAGTAGATTACTGATGTTTAAGAGTCTGAAAACTTTCGCAGTCCATTGATAGCCGTCAAATTATCTTAGTCTTGCCTGAAGTCTCTTACGATAGATGTGTTGTGGTGCCAATTCCAGTCTAATGAGCAATAACAGAAGAAATGTCGAAGAAAGTAAAAATCGTTTGTCTTAATGCGCGAGACCATTTGCAACGGGTTTCACCTGAGGAAGTTTTAAATCGTTTCTGTACACCTCATCCACGCATGTCGGGCCTCACTTGATATTTATCTAAAATTAGTGTTCTTGGACTAGCTAGCTAGTGTAACGAAATAACAATTTCACCCAAGAGCGTGACCAAGTTGGCTTTTAGGCGGGCAAATAAAAGATTGACGATAATCCCGCCATCATGAATGAGGTCTACGAAGCGAATTTGACAAGATCGACACGTTTTACAGGTACCTCCGATCAAAGCCGTTCTGGGTGGATTTTCTCAAGCGTCTAAAGCAGATGACGCAGTTGCGTTCACAAACTCGGCGGCCGACGAACAGAGTTGCCATAGCCACGACATAAAGCAGTTCGGACATTTACTAGCAACCTTACTAGGACACTGCCATGGCTCCAGTGAATACGTTAAGGTAATTATTATGAAGTCAGTGTCAATAGGTACTTATGACGACCTAGAAAAAGCTTGGTTGATTTGCAATTACTGATCCCTGGTTAAAGAAAAATTGTCAAGATTAAGAACCGCATGTAGATTGTTTACCATCTTTTAATTGGTTGCCTTAGCTTTAGTGGACACAAAAGAGAGCTGACATCTATTTTTCATATATTCAGTAATAGTTAAGTAACTACGGTGCAGCAAGATTACGAAACAAAATGACCCTGACAAGTGTTCAAGACCACACCGGTGTATTTCGTCGAATTATCTTGCCAGGGCGTTGTTATCGTAAGTTTCGCCATCGGTCTCATGGTAAAATTGTAACTCTTCTCTTGATCTCTAAAAAATTGTCACTGCTTTATATAAAGCTGTAAGTAAGGATACAGTTATCTTATGCAATGCACAAAAAGCTGCCTGATTAAAAACATAACTTCCTTTCTTTTGTTTTGTTCATGTTCTGTAGTTGCATGAGATTATGAAACTGTGTTTCGAGGATACAGAGGAGAAGAGGCCTACAGCGCGTTACATCCGCGAAGTATTGGAAGAAACCTGGTGCGCTGAGGGGGTTTGGGATACATACCTATGAGGAAACTAAAAAAAAAATCGAAATTAGCTTTCCAATCGCATTTGGTACCGAGTTTGAAATGGTTGTATTAGTAACACCATCGATTTCTCTGAGTATTCGGTCAGTTTTTTTTCTCATTTTTAACTTGCCTTTACTGAAACAAGAAACGCTTTTCGGCGATTTGCCTAACATCGAAAAAATTTGTTGTATTGTTGCTTTCTATTATGTGCAGGGTGCTGCGTGGGTTATTATGATGGCAAACGGATAGAAAGTCAGCAGTTCATTTCAAAATAATTTATACAATAGCTGCTCAGTGTATGTGAAGTTCGTAAGTATTAATTTAGGGGCGAAACACCCGAGGCTTCCGAGGAGGATTGTCGGTCCCCGTTCTGTTTCAGCTTCATTAGTTTCGATTAATTAATTAGTTGACGAAAATAGACTATGATGAATTTAGGTCATTATAATGTACATGAAAAAATACTCAGTTCTAATTGGTTCAGATAAATGCAGTTTCAGGTTATTCAATGTAGAAGGTTAATTCAGTGCAAATAAGTAACAAAGCAGACATTCTGATTGTCAATAAAGTCAATGAAACTCACAGATAGCTCATCACTGGCGTTTTAAGTAGGTTTCTTTCGCCACTGCAACAACAAGCAGCTGAAAAACAGCTATAACAACGAAAACACATTGGTTTTCAGTTTGGAAAAAGTGGTGTTTAGAGAAGGGAATTGCTAAGGAAATCGAAAATTGCGAGCCGACCCAGCTTAACACTTTACTCGAGCGATTCTACGCCGAAATTAATAACAAACATAGTTAAATCTCGCAAACGACGATTTCATTTCATCGAAAGTGATTCGGACACAGACTGAACAATTCCTTGAACTGTTTCGCCGGACTTTGAACCTTTTTTGCGCCTTAAAGATATGAAATATCATTGTAATTTATTGTTTTGATCGTACGCGGTTGTTTTGACCGAATGCACAATGTCACTTGCGGGTTATAATAAATCATGTTTGCACTTGATGCGCGCGCTTTGCTTCTGCATAACTATAATAAGCTATCTGGAATTTTTGATGTACATTTTTCATGCGTAATCTCATGATTTTTCTTGTGCAATTTGGAATAAATAAGCACTTGTTAAGTTAATTTTTTCAAAGACCACAAATTGCACTTGCCCTACCGCCTCCTGCAATTTTGTTTGTCTTTGAAAAAATTTACTCGTGCCTATTTATTGCAAATTGTACTCGAAATCATGCAATTACCTATCCTAATAAAAATGAAAGTAGTAAACTAATGACGATAATGATAACGGTAGAGATAATAATATTAAAAATGAGAGTATTAACAATAGTATATGACGGAGCTTGAGACGAAATAATTTAAAATGGCCGTCACTCGGACAAATCCAAGATGGTACCAAAACTGGTTTTGGTAACAGGTAAATGTGCAAGGGATTTGATGAGATGCAAACCGTATAGGTATGTTGAAGACCTAAATGTAATAACTGTCTTAGATGTAATAAAGTCCTAAATGTAATAAGATTTGGTCCTAAATGTAATAAAATCCTAAATGTAATAACATTTGGTCCGAAATGTAATAAGCCTCTGATGCAATCATTTAATTCCGCTAGTGCATTGTTGTCATAGCAAGTAAAAAGACGCTGATTAATATCAGCGAGCCCACAATATGCTAAGAATATTGGTCAGAGGATTTTTTGGTGCATCAGCTGTCACTTTAACATCTAAAGGAGGATTTCCACTATTACAACATTACACTGGCGGAGTTAAACAACTACATTGGAGGCTTATTACATTTAGCACCAGATATTATTACATTTAGGACTTTATTACATTTAGGACAGTTATTACATTTAGGCCTTCAACATAGGTATTTGTGGAAATTTTTAGGTAATTCACGAAACAAAAGGGGCTTTGAGAACATGTCCAAGCAAATCCGAAAAAGACACATCAATCACTCCAAAAAGTTTTTTGAAAAATAGTAAATTTTTTTGACACAAATCTGTACACCCAAACTAATATGATCTCAAGGTGTTATAACCATTAATCTTTTGCCACCTGTCAGGTCTAAAGCCGAATAGGGCATTTCTTCTCCTTTCACACCTAGACGAACCGCCTTGTAAGTCAAACAGTTGAAAATTGATAGGGTTATGTGCCAGGTGTCCGTTGTATGCATCATTGCGCACCATTCCGAAGATCAGACTTTGAGGAATAAGAACGTTAAAAATGTCTGTCCCTGTATGATTTAATATCCCTTGGGAATAGTTTTTGCATGGGTTGGAGATCTGGTCAATGTGTAAACTGCCCGGAGGGCAGGCGAAGACTTGCCCAAGTACTTTGACTCGTCATTTCCTTCCTTTTAACAGTAAGTGTGCCTAGTTCTAGCCCCAGGCCCCCGACTGTGAAGACTGAAAGCGGCCATGAGTACCTCGTTCTCATTTATGACCCGTCCTCGTCGATTTTGTCAGTACGATTGCTGCGCACTGATGAGACAAGTCTGTCTATATCTGGAAAGATAGCTATCAAGAGCCTCCGCGAGGAACAATGTTTTTCACAAGAAAAAAGCTAACAATGATGAAATCTCTGCGTTTCAACATTCAGTACAGGCACCGTCTTCGGGTTAACCTCAATTATCAATTATCCAATTAAATACAGCAGTGACCAGTTATTTTGAACGTTAGACATAGTCAAAATTCCCCTCATTTTAAACTAGAGACTCATGTACTTAAATATTTCTCATTGTATCGCCATAGATCTACTCTAAATTTCAAACCCCAGTCGTCTGATGTCTGATTGAATCCGTTATATGAAACCAGTTTTGCTTCAATTTCGGAGACATTTTTGTCAATAACAACCCTGATGTTTCTATTCCACACGAAAGAAGAGGGAACAAGGCATCGGTGTTAACAGCTTTTTTCAACCTTATACGCTGTCTGTGTTATGTCAGATATATTTTTAAGGCCTCGTCAAATGTGCACAGCTTAATTTTCCCCCTGAGAGGCAGACTAGGATAGGATATAGTGATGCCTTAAAGACTAAAGATACCCAGATGTCTGCAAACGATAGTTTTTTGCTCTTAAATGCTCAAAACATATTTTTGATTTGAGGCAATAGTTAATTTTTTGCCAATTTTTTCATAAATGTGTGAACTTAAAGAACTGTACGTGATTGTGTCGTTTGTAATGAATAGAGAGGATAGCAAATGATATAATGCCATGGGCATATCTTCGTGTAATAAATAAGGAGAAAAGAATTCCATATGCACACATGACAAATGATTTGTATTTCATCAGGTGTCTGACTGTAGCGGATAGCAGTTAATTTTTCTGAAAAATATATACACAATCCAAGGTAAGGGTAAAAAGGGTAATGATTTTCGTCGGGTTGTGGTGACTGTAAAGTCACAAAATTAAGCAAAAAGGCAATTATATTCAAAAGCACTACGTATGCGTGTACATCCATGACATTTGGCTTCACAGAATGTTCTTGGCTCGTTTTTAGCAAAAACAAACAAACAAACAAAAGCACTTGTTTTGCACAGTTCAATACATTCTAACCATGGCTAATCATTTCGCAAATCCAAGCGGTTAATGATAAAAATTCGATAGATTTTTCCATTTTAGGGGCTTAAATGCATCGTTAACCCTAAAAGTTATGAAGAATAAGGAAAGTAAAGGGGAGGAAGTGGCGTCACCAAACAGGAAGTTACCATAAAGAGGAAGTTGCTATAAAGCGGAGGTAACGAATAGATTGGTAGCTTTCGTCCAAATATACTTTTAAAATGGGGGGCTTTCACTTTTGAGTGAAGCGTGGCTATGCTTTCAAACAAAATTCCCAATACGCGTAGTCATGTTTACAGTTTTTTCATACCGCACTGACCCTTTACCTCGATAGCTTACGGATGGAATTTATCGAACATGCTAAAAGATATTGTAAATAATTGTAATAACTATAACAGATGTTCCCCAAAAGGTTTTTCAAAATCTATTTACAAATGTATGAATATATGAAATAATAATAATAATAATGATAAAATATAGTCAGTATTCACAACTAAACAAGCTCTGAAAGTTCATGCTAATATACCGTGTGGATGTACTTCCTTATGGCCATCTTAAAAAATTTGAAGGAGGTATGATTCTTAACGTCACTATCCAAACTGTTCCATAAGCTAATTGCTCTATAGGTTAAAGAACGTTGGCCTGTGGCAGTTTTACAAATCGATCGGTATCTGAAGCGAGTCCCTTTTGCGCGTGTAACGAGCATGCATGCTAAAACGCTTAATGAACTTATCGCTCAGGTATCGTGGAGCGAGGTCACTTAGACATTTGTATGTTATTACCGCGTCCTTATATAGTAGTAATTGCTTCACGGGTAGCCAGTTCAACTGGCGAAGCAAAGGAGTTACGTGGTCGAATTTATTAGAGTTCGTAACTCTCTTGCTGGCGAAGTTTTGGATTGACTGGAGTTCACTGATGTTCCCAGCTGATATATTCGACCACACGGTGGAACAATATAATATTTTACTAAAAACTAATAATGCTATTGGTAATTTTAAAATTTCTTTGTTAAAGCTCTTCTTAAAACGATTTATCTGATATAGTTTAGAAAGGGAGGACGGGACCACATGTGTGATGTGGTGAACGTAAGTTCGATATAATGTTCGGATGATGTTTCCCAACTGACCTGTACTCGTTGCTTGTTTTTCCTTGTTTCCAGACAGCAAACTCTCAATCAATAAAAACAAGTCCAATATAAGCTTTAACTTTGCCGAGTCATCACGATTTGTCTTCAATAAACGATTGCAGATATTTTCAAGCCTAAAGTCAGGTAATTTTTTTGTGTCGTTTAAGGTTTTCTAATCTTACTCTCCTGAGATATTGGTAAAATAAGAATTTCACCTTATGCTCAGGTGAATGACGTTTTCGTGATATTCTAATCACGTGCGGTATAAGGCGAGGTTGCATAGATGTTTTTAATAAGTAGATCTTGTAGGTAATTCAAGTAGTGAGACTAACGGATCTTACTGAAGGCAGGTGGTCCCGCGTGTAGCAATCCTAGTGCTTAACTTCTGGCACTTACCTTTTGGGCATAAACTAAGCTCGTTTCAGTTAAATTACACGTTCTTCAGCAGACTACGACGCAAACTAAACAAGATAGCTTTTCTTAGGTAAGGAATGCCTTTGCCTTTAAAATAGAATTACTCTTTGAAAAATTAATAGCTCGGTGGCCGCAGTTACCCGTATTCACTCTAAATTTTAGCAAATCAAAACGAGACGGTCGATCGTCGCTCCTCAGAGCGTAACGTGTGGAAAGTTTGACTTAGCTCTCTATAGTATAAAACGTGCCAGACAAAAGTTACAAAGCATTTAAAGGTGTTTTGTTGGCTTGTTAAGAATATTGCGTGGAGTGAAATTGATTGCCAAGTCATAGAAAACTTAGCAGAGTCTCTGAAAATCATTCAGTCGACAATCTTCGACAAAAATTTGGAAAAGAAGAAGAAAAATAAAGACCTGTAGTTTATTCTTGTTTCTTTTCGCATGTAGAATATTCTACACAGAGCATTATCCGTTAATTAAACCAATTTACGAACTCTAACTCCCTTTTCCGATTGACAAATACTTATTTTTTTCTTTAATGATTTGGACTGGGATATATTTTTTATAAATTGTATTCTTTAGACCAGAGTGGGAGAGAAGTTAACTGTATGTTTCACAAATACGAGTTACCTTTGTCGCCAAAAAAAATAGAAATTTGGAGATTTTTAAAAATTAATGCTACTTTGAATTGTGTTCCAGAGCGTTTTGTGTTTGTTTATCGCTGACATTGTCATAATATGGTGAGCTTCCATCATGGGGGAATTAATTATTAATATCTTTTTGTTGCTCATTAAAGCATGTAAAAATACTGAAACATTTGTAATAATATTCTGACGCAAATTATGTGGTGTTTCTCGAATCTTGCAACACAATATTACTCCACAAAATGGATATTTGAGGATTCTTTATTGCAACAAATTTTAGTGTTTTAAAGAAGAAGTCAACACGTTCAAACAGTTACTACGAGAATAACGAGATACAGGTAACAGTTAAACAGTTTAAATACTATGTGATTAAACCTCCTTGACTCGGAAAGCAATTCTAAAACTTAACGGTGTTGTAACGGCTTCATTAAGGCAGTCGAATGGATGGAAAAGTTGTTGGAAACATTAAAGTTGATTCCCGTGTTGAACGTAATAAACTTTGCTTATAGCTACGCTTTGCATTTTTAATGCAATTTATATCTAAGAATCACTTCATGGGTGGCTGCGAATCAACTGAGAAGAATTAAAGTGATGGTAAATAAAAATGAAAATACCTCAAACAGGTTAAACTTATCAGGGAGAAACAAATTAGGAGTATCGAAAGTATACAAAAATGCGAATGAATAATTCGAAAACGCCAAAGTAAATTTTTCAAGATGGAAATCCATCACTCATTTGACTTTGAATTTCAAAGGCGACAGGAAGACTTCCTGTCGCCTATACGATTTTAATGTATGCAATACTTCAGCGGTTTTTTTGTGAAGTTGTAGCTTCACTAGTTCTCAATTTGCATGCCCTTGTCACTGTTAGGTGAATTTAGGGATCTGATGATGACCAGTTTTGCCCCCAGCCGTTCTTATTATTTTTGACGATTGTTTGAATCATAACTAAAGCTTCTTATGGTTCCAAAAATAAATAATCTATCAGAACTTGTAAACAACCTTGCCCGGAAATTAATTGATTTTGAACTGACACAATTCACCGATCTACATAACGAGTAACGTGTCGTAAGTCTCAGGCGGGCGAGGAATCAGGCAAACTCTCCGGCGTGTAGGCCATTAAGAATAAAACCAAAAAACATTCCTCTGTGTCTTCCCCTTTGTATCGTCAGGTTTGTACACGGTAACTTGGTGAATGCATGATCAGGTGTTAAACATCGTAATTTGGGTCATTTTATATTTTACAACAGGCTCTGTTTTATCCAGAAATCCTTTCCTCAGTGATGTGCAATTACTTAAAAGTTTTTTTTATCTGTCTGAGATGGCTCTTCCTCTCCGAAGTTCAAATTCAAACATGGCAACACTGCTGTTATCTGCAAGTCTTTGACGTTTCGGCGAGAAACCGTGGGCTGTTTATATAACATTGCTTGTTTAGATTAAGACTCTAAAACGCACCTACTCTTTTAACGTGTCTCGGGTGTCTAACCGGTTTTCTTATTTTTTCCTGAAGAGTTTTTTTTAAAACCATCTTATAGGTGGAGGGCAGGTGAGGAACTGAACTGATACTATATTTTCGCGCGGAAATGGTTTTCATCTCCAAATGTTTAGACAGCATGTATCCGTGTTTTAGTTGTAACTAATAACGTGTCAAGATAAAGTGGCTCTGATTATGCATGAAAATTAGTTTCCACCAGGAGGTCTTTCAAAGTTCAATTTCAAATTGTCCTTGTTTGGAAACTAGTTGCAAGTCTGCTTTACGACAATTGGATACGTTGAGGCCGCCTACTGATATTTTTTAATTGAGTTCCCTTCTAGCTGAATATTATCACGAGAACACCGGTCACATCTTCTTTTTTTGTTCACGGTGCGAAAGCCGACCGAAGTCGATCAATTTGTGTCATGCAAATTTTAAAAGTATTGACTAGTAAATGACGGCGTTTGAATTGAAACGAGTATTTCTATTCTAGAGTGTGCATCAACTTGCTGGAATGATGCTTCCAGTTATCAAGGGAACATATTTGCTTCTTGCCAGTTTCTTTGTGATGATTGCCACTGTTTTTCCCTTCCAAGCAGGAGGCTATTCAAAAGACATCACCGGTAAGTTTTATCTCTTGATTGTAAAAAAATCCAAGCGGAAGCTGGTAAAAATTATCTGTTCTGTTCAATTAGCAACCAAAAAAGCGTGAAAGCCTCTATGTAATCTACGAGCAGAATTATTACCGTCTTGAGAAACTGCTTCTCTCTTGTTTTCCGTCTATAACCTATTTTTCGGTGTTACAGAGAATCGAAGTGTAAGGGATTGTCAAACAATTATTACGTGCGTCATAAAGGAGGTAATAAAAGATATGATGGTATTAGAGGTCTGTAGCTGTTTGGTCAAATACAGCAAAGAAAGGAAAATTTCATTGACTTTTCTTCCTTTCTTACAAACCAGTTAACTTCAAATTTGTTCGCTATGATTTGCTACAGAATTATTGCAATGAATAGAATTAGGGGGGTGTCGATGTACTTATTATGAGGAATTTCAACCTTAAAACGTAATTTCCACTGTTTGTTTTGTCTATCACGGCACTCACCAACGTAATGTATGTAATTTATTTTGTTTAAACGCCCTCGAGGCAATATTAATTCAAAGTATTAACCGGTTTTATATCTTACCGCGAATTGATATGTAATTGCGTGAATTTGAAATCTGAATGAAACATCTCGAATGCAAATAAATGAAAATTATCCCGATGTTAACTATTCACTAAACGGTTGGAAGTTTATCATAATTTTTCCAGTGAGGAGCTTTTCAAAATTTAGTGAGATATGATTATGTTGAAAGATTCTCTTTGCGACTATAATTTTAGAGATTTGCTTCTGTGGTTTACCGCGAGGTGGGCCAACCGCGCAGTCAGTCAGTTTTGAATTTATATATTCTCGACCGCGGTGCCGTATATTTGCTTTGAAAGTAAACATTATATATCATGTGTCTCTTTTAGTTTTGTTATTTTTCTGTCTTGCCTAACTGATATCTCACGATGATAGATCCACAGTTCAGATACTTCACAGAATGTGCTAAAAATGTCTTTAAATAGGCACAGGTGGCAAGAAACAGCAGAAACGGTTACACATTATGAATTAGCTGTAAATTTGTCTAGTTATGATCGCTCCACTCGACACCCTGTATGTATCGTGCTAATTTGCGCCTTCACGATTAGCAGCCAAGATCAATTCAAAATTGTGAGAATATTTTTGGATCTTCGATGACGTTGGGGGCCTGGGGGTAATTCTCCATGGTACCCTACGGTCCACTAATTTATTTTCAACTGGTAATACTGAAGCCATAGCTTATTTTATAAGGAAACTCAGTTTAAGGCTATATTGGTATTCTTTTAAATTAAGGTAAAGAACAGGTTTCCCTCAGCAATCAAAAGGATTATGCTCTTTTGGTATTATCGTTCACTAGGGAACTGCACCTTCGATGAGAGAACATTCTGCAGCTGGTCCAATGAAAGATACACCGACCATTTCGATTGGGTACTTGGACAAGGAAGTTCTCTAAGCAGTGACACTGGACCAATCACTGACTACGCAGGTACATTAGATGTTTCATTTTTCTGCGCAATGTACCCTTTGAAATAAGGTACCGTCTGGAAACTTTATATCCTGATAAAGTAAAGACCTTACATGTATCTTAATGATTCGCGAGTTAACTGACGAGATTATGCCATTTTCATATGAAGAGATGGACCGTACACGCAGTATGATTGGGTCTTACTCATGATCTATTGAAGGACAGGAGATGATGTCATCATTAACAGCTTTTAACTTTTTCTATCAAACGAAACAAACAGATTCCATGTTGCCGCGCGTCTGTCTACCAATAGATAGATCCCAGAAGACATCAAAATATGGCGGGAACAACAGTGACGCACTTATCTGCACTTCGGGTGCAGATATTTTTGTTATACAGAATATTTACAAGGTTTTAAGGTTTTCCACGTGTATTCTTCACTGATGAAACATAGCATTACACCATTTTTTTATACGCATGGCCCGACTCACACGCACAAAATATTTTTGCTTACGTCATATGACGTCTATCAGGATATCCAGTCCTCTGCCGTGAGAACACTTGACTATTAACACAAATTCCCTTTGGAAACAAGGGAATACCACTACTTAACATTTCAACCATGTTTTGACGTGTTCTATTATTGAGCGTATATCTGTTAAATTGATAAGGTATGTATTTTACGCTTCCACAGAAAACGGCTCGTATATCTACATTCAAACGTTATCCCCCCGAAAGTACGACGAGAAGGCCAGACTGAAAAGCCCGTGGATGAGAGGGCCACTGCGGATGACATTTTTTTACTCCATGTACGGCAGCACCATTGAGACTCTCTCTGTATATGTTATAATCAATGGCCGTGAATCCAGGATATGGAGTCGTCATGGGAACCGCTCATCGCGCGATTGGATCAAAGGCTGCGTGGCTATAAGCTACAATGGAACTTATCAGGTAGTTCAACTACGTTTTTCCCTAAGAAAACATTAACACTAAGACTTTGGGAAATGGACCGAGTGCTTTTTATTCTTCATCAGGGAAAGTCCAAAGGTTTTCCAGGTTTTCCACAATTTAAGTTGCATAAGGATCTATAATTCGTGACTGGACCCTTACCATGTCGTCTTATCTGCTCACAGGTAGTAATAGAGGGCATTGCAGGTGTGACTTTTGCATCAAGCATTGCAGTTGATGAACTCATTTTCAGTGAGAACCTAACATGCGTTTCAGATGGTGACACTACTCCATCTGAACTCTTTAAAGGTAATGCTGCCCTTGTGCTGCTAAACAAGAAGCAGTTTGGCTTGAACTGTATTAATTAGGATTCTTTCCACTTGCATCGAGAATACTCGTGTCGCTTCTTAATGAGTCAGACTGATTTCTCAAGGCAAAATTTCAGGGAAGAAAACGTTCCCTTCACCTATAACCTCATAGTAAAATGAAAACCCTTGCTTCTCTCTCTGAAAGCGGTAAACGTAAGTTGTTCTTAACAACAACTGATGTAAATACGATGTGAATTAATCTAACAATTGCTGTCCGAGACCGCATTTTATCGCCATTTTTTGATGCAATTTCAGTGAACTGCACCTTTAAAGAGAGTTTTTGTGGATGGCGAAATCTATTTGCACCTTGGGATCAAATCGACTGGAGGAGAGGATCAGAAAACTCAAGGGAACAAATTGAAGCGAGCGGTAATCTCACTGGCAAGTAAAAGACGCCACCGCTATTGTATTTATATTGTCCACCACCTAAACAAAATGCTCAACTTTACGGGCATTGATGGTTTCACCATTGACACCACCATTCAAATACTTCTAATATGTTTACCTATGATGAAGCCGTTATTTCTTAATGAAAAGAAAAAAGTCCATAAACTTAATTTCGAATTATCCTTGTCACCTGACGTATTCTGATTAATTGTCGAAGAAAGCCAAGGTGTTTTTTTTTATGTAATATTCAGCTACCATTATTAATTCTGTGCTTATGCCTTTCTTTTCAGTATCAAGAGGAAAAAAATTTATTTACATCGAAGAATCACAACCTGACAAAGTATATCAAACCGCTCAGTTATCGAGTCCATTTATTCGGGGACCAAAATGTTTCCGCTTCTCTTATCGCCTTTCCGGACGTGAGGTGGGAAGGCTGGATGTCTTCCTTCAACTTCGAGGGCAACAAGGAGATTACTTGATGTGGAATAAGTCAGGAGATCAGGGAAGTCAGTGGATAAAGGCTAGCGTCGATATCGGTTATACTGACGAGTGTCAGGTACACACATTCTAAAGGCAGGAAACAATGAGATTATGTTTACTCTTCTTTACTCATCTGCATAGATTATATCTGTCACTGTGGTAAAAAAACAATAAGGAGTAGTGCTCCCAGTCCTGGTAGTTCAAGTTGGCTGCAAGTGTCAACCCTCTCCACAGATAACCTTTTCAAGCAATTAGATTAGACTGCACTGTCACAAAATAAGTAAATGAATAAATAGATATGATTTCAAGGATAATTCTTATCACAGATTGTCCTGCAAGCAACAGTTGGCAAAAATTGCACAAGTCGTATAGCCGTCTATGATGTCAACTTAGTTGATGGACTATGCCATGACGAGAGGGAATTTAGCACCGACGTACAAGGTTCTTGTCATTCTTCTGTTCAAAGTATTAAAGAACCATTTATGATCCTCTTGTCGCTTGTTTTTCGATGGTCTGTCATAAAATGCACATTTTCCGAGCTTTCGTTATAACTTTCTTATTTGTCAACTTTAAGGATAACGGCTATCTCATCTCTTATTTTTAGGGAATTGTAACTTCGATAATAACATGTGCTTTTGGAGGGGCGATTTAAATTTTATCTTCGCATGGAGAAGAAAACAAGGCAGGACATCAAGCTTTCAGACTGGACCCAGCGGGGACCATACTTCAGGTAAAACGAAATAAACAGTACTTGTGAAAACGTGTGTTTCAGCATGTGGGGTGAATCACTTTAAGCAGAGATCGAAGATATAAAGTTTAATCTAAGTGGTCATAACATAATTGATTTTTACCCTGCATGCTCAAAAACGAACGAATGAAGATTTAGCAACTGAATCAGAAAAATTAGATCGTCCTAGTATTTGCCACTCAAAATGAAGAATTCGTGCATTTAATACTAGTTTTTCTTTCGAAAGGATCTGGTCATTACATTTATATTGAAACATCGAGACCCAGAAAGATGGGAGACACTGCAAGGCTAACGAGTCCGTGGCTGCGAGGACCACATTGCATGACCTTCTACTACCACATGTATGGCTCTTCCATGGGATGTGTTGCCGTGTACATAAGAAGACAGGGTGCAGACAGTCTACAACCGCTTTGGCTGAGGTCCAAGAATCAAGGAAACAGATGGATTCAAGGGCAAGTTAGCATAAACGATACTTCAAGTTTTCAGGTGGGATGTCACGATTTGAATCATAGCCTTTGCCTAACGTGGCTACAGTCAAACTAGATTTATCGTTTCCGCTATAAAGTGAGTGCTCTAATGACTTCTGCCATTTAATTGCGCTGTTAATAATAACAGTCTTCCAAAGTATACAGATTCTGTTGGAATTTGTAAATCAAGGCATGCATTACATAACAGTCTGACAGGTTCAAAACTCAGGGAGATTAAACGTTGGCTGCGACATCGTTCTCCAATGAAAATAGGACTTCCACGATTTTCAACAAACAGGAGAGCTTTGATATACAATACACGTTGTCTCTCACCTTGTTTACGTGAGATTACATAATAGCTAGGAAGTTTATTTTTCTTTGTCATTTCTAGATAATAATTGATGGCATTACAGGCACAAGCATTCGTGGAGACGCAGCCTTAGACGACTTCGCCTTTCAACACGGACTTTGTCACCAATTAAGTACGGCAAGATAAATATCTTTTCCGGCTCTATAGAAAATAATTTGGGCACACGATTGCGGCGTTTACTTAATTGTTTTATCTATCGAGCAGTACCTTAATATAGTTTTGTTTAGTTTTGTGTTTGTTGTGTAACTGCTGAAATTTGGTAGGTTAGTTTAGCCGTTTAAAACTTCGACAAGAATCGCTGTGAGGCAGACTTAGACTTATGAAAACATGATCCATGATTCCATTTGAATTTATTATTTTAGGTGAAGCAACGTTCTACGTGTCTTCCCTTAAGGGAAACGATTTCAGAATATCCACAAGACCTTCTGGAGACAATCTGTACACCGACGAATTCCGATTCGTTATCGAACATCCACGAGGAAATCCGATAGAGAAGGCTTATTTCATCTACCCCCATGCAAAGGGACATAGCTTCGTTACCACAAAGCTAGATATTTCTAACTATAATAACTATCCCTTGGATGTAGCTGTCCTCAATCACAAAGAGTTGTCAACGAATTGCAGTAGGATTTTCTTCATTAGCAGAGATAGGGCTGAACCTATGATAACTCTTGAAGATCCCGGTCTTAAGGATTATTGCAAATGCAAGGCGAATTTCTCTTTTTATGCCTGCGATGTGGTCCAATCAGGTGAAGAAGTGAAAAAGTCTGTTTAAGTTAAAACTCAAACAGATTTCTTTTAACTATATATTTTATGGAAGCAAGTAGATTTCTCTGCCCCCAATTTTTTTGTTTTTTGCGCCATAGGAATTCAAGAGAGATATTGAGGACACGGTTGAAGATATCTATGCAATTAATGGGAAGTCGTCGACATGACTATTTTCAATTTTTTCACCGTTATATTAAAAAAGACACCATTAAAACAATTATTGACTAATTCAAAGACGAGAGCTATGTATCAAAATAAGACAAACGAGGAGTTTTCCTTTTAAGAATGTGACTCAGTTATCCATATGATCATCTGTCACAGTAACGTATATTATTTTGCGTGTTTGAACTAGAGAAGTTACAATGGGAAAAAATCCACGAACAATTTTTTGCAGGTAGCCGTTCTATTTCTGGATGTGAACCTGGTTGGTACAAACTAGGACAAGCATGTTTTATGTTTTACTTCCAATCATCCAAGCAGTGGCGGTTTGCTCGAAACCTGTGTCACAAACAGAAGAGCGAAATCGCTATAGTCAATAGTGCAGAGCAACTAGAGGCCCTTGCAGTTCAGAGGAAGAAACTCCAGCGTGAATGCCGCGGTCTTACCCTTGGTCTTGATGGCAACCTACGTTGGGTTTGGATAGATGGTGAGAAAGCAAAGAGTAATAAAAATCTATGGGGGCCATGGCAACCAAGTGGAGATGGTAAATGTGGTTCTTTCTTAAATGCAATTGGATGGAGTTCAAACTGGGCTAGGTACGGATGGCGCTGGAATGATCTATCCTGCACGAGCCGTAAAGGATATATTTGTGAGGAACCATTAGGTATGCGTTATATATTGGTGGCTGATACATAAAGGTGATTTTCCAAAAATGTTCTCGCAATAGTTATTTATGCAGCATAAGATTGTTTTCATCTGTTCATTTGAAAGTCGATGGAAGAATATTGTTCACGTGTCACAAATTTGTTTATTTTCCAAGACGTCCCCCTTCCTGTGGCTCTCTTTTCTACGAGTCCAACCGATGGAGTTGTTGACCTGAGTCCAAATGGAGCCACCAAAGCAGCATCTAATAACATTACGCTGACGAGAGGTCCCTTGGGTAATCCAGTTGGTTCCTTTCTCTTCAGTGATTTGAATAACAGCTACGTGGAAGTTGAAAATGAGGGAGAACTCGATACAAGGTTTTCGATGAGTGTTTTTGCATGGGTGCACCCTGACGCGTCTACCACTCGTGCTGGTCCGATATATGATTACGGTTGCTCGATGTGGGTTTTTCCTTTAACTTGGGGACTTGAAATTCGTTATATGGTGAGAGATCGTTCTAATATTCACCTATTGCGTAAGGATGGTGTTATCAAAATAAATGAGTGGAATTTTATAGGGACCATGTACGATTATCACACAGGCGTTGCGTCTGTGTGGGTGAATGACAGCATGGTTATGAACAAGTCTATTGGATCCAACGTGGAATTGGCGACTCAAAGAAATCTTATGATAGGAGCGTCTAACAACCGTGAGGTACAATTTTATGGCAAAGTTTCCTGCTTGCAGTTCTACGCCCAAGCATTGTCCGTGGATCAAATTATGAAGATAAGGGAAAGATGCAATCAAACCAGTAAGCATGTCTAATAATGTCTCTGTTTGGAGCTTGTTTTCTCAAAAGGACAAAACTTTTTCCAAGTGATATTGTCCCAAGAACCAGCCAATTTTTATTTTAATTGACCTTGTTGCGTTTCTTGTTTCAGTCTCTTTTAGAATGAAGCGTTTTAAATTCGCCTCTCTTTTTATTTTTTTTCTCTTTTTATGTCTTTCTCTCTTCCTCTTCTCGATTTCTTTGATTAATCTAATCTGCCCTTGTAGGCAATGCTCGACATGCAGCTGCATAACTTACAGACTCGACGTAAGTCACTTATTCTTGACACGTTTACAAGTTTGGAGACACCTCTTTAGGTGGTTCTGTCATGTATGGTCTTTTATACATGATAGGATAATACTTCACTCAACTCAACTCGTCAACCTGGTGCCTTTGGAATAGTTTTTCCTAGTGTAGGTCATCCAGGAACTATATTTATGTTGAAGACCTTGAAGATTTATTCTAACTTAATACCTCTGTACCTTTAGTATTACCTACGACTTCACCAGATTACAAAACCGTGGGATGCTATCGAGACACAAGCAATCGTGCAATTCCAAATTTAGAAGACGCTGACCCTTTATTGGTCGGTGCCTACCAGGACCGTGAAAACGCGATCGAAAAGTGCGCCCTCGCAGCTCGCAAAAGGGGTTTTCGCATGTTTGCACTTCAGAATGGCGGGTGGTGTGCAGCCAGTGTCACAGCAGAAGAAACGTTTAACAAATATGGTAAGAGCAATCGTTGCCGAGGCGATGGCAAAGGAGGACCCTGGTCAAACGATGTTTACATTATTCAAGGTTGGTCGATTTGATCCACGTAAGGTGACAATTTGTGTTCCACAACCTCATAATTAAGGATTTCTTCTCGTATTATCGGGGAAAAAAGAATCCATTTTCGAGCAGTTCTAACACATCAAGAAAATGGGCACTGATGGCAAAAGAGAAAGATTTGTTTTATTTCACAAGTCGGGGTCAGAGTTGTTGGGCTGGAATTGAAATAGCGGATTGCGTGACAAGGTTTAAGATTCATTACCTTACCTTCGTTTGTAAAGTTAGTCTTTGAAATTTCAGAACTCTCTCAGTTACGTGTCTAATGTATACTTTTTAAAGACGGCTTTAGAAAATAAATGGTACTTCTCTTTTACATGGAATAAAAGGCATTCGACTAATTAATTGATGACTCGTGTAAAGTTGTCCTATTTCAAAAACTCCTCCTATTTTAGTCCGTAAAAGTGCCATTCTATGTACGCTCTATTAAGCTACGTGTACCAAGCTATGATCAGTATCCTTAAAGGTTTTCAGTGTCTTGGGCATCGGCGCAAAGAAGGTTATTGTAATAAAAACATTGCATGTGAAATCAACGCGATCAAAAAAAAAATGCAACAGAATTCACAGACATAAATCAATTGCCTCGAAAGCTTTCCGTTAATGACGAATATTCAGCCTCACAAGTAATATTTGATCTATGATGCTGGTTTTTCTCTAAGCATGTTTTTAGGTGTTCTTGCCTTATGCAATGATGCTGATTTTTGCAAATAAGTGATGCATAACATACAAACAACAAATATTATTGAATTGTCGACTTAATATAGTTCTTCAATTTTTTCTGTCGATGGTCTAAGGTTTTTGCCACATGGTTTCTTCGGATCGTTGCGGTATGGTAAAACCTTCTCGCTAAACCAGATATTAGCCATGCTTTTTACTAACTGATAAAACACCAGGCACGTCACTCATCCGTTCAGTTAAACTCAGTTACTTCCCAGTGACGAAACTGTTTTAATTAAATAGATTATATAAATGTGGGGTGCTACAGAGACGACTCTTCCATTCGTGCAGTTCCGGACTTAGAAAGAACAGACCCTGTCTTGGATGGAAATTACCGTGTACGTCAGAACGCAGTTGAAAAGTGTGCTATTGTGGCTCGCAAAAGAGGTTTCCACATGTTTGCAATTCAAGATCATGGGCAGTGCTTGTCCAGTGCTACGGCAGGAGAAACGTTCGATAAGTATGGCAAGAGTGATAAATGCAGTGAAGACGGCAAAGGAGGGCCTTGGGCAAACAATGTTTACGCATTTAGAGGTGGGGAAGATCTCTTTTGACACATGTACATTCATGGGTCAATTGGAAATTATGTAGTTTAGTACTTAAGCCAAATAAGATTACTGAATTATAGATATTGTCGTTGATGAGAACATTTCAAACATTAACAAGCCACTGTTATCGACTGAGTAAGCCCAATTCTGAAACTAAAGTGAAACTAAAGGCAGAATAACCCGTGATTCTAATTCCCTGATAACTGTGGCGTGTATTACAATAAAAAACCATAGGATGGTTCTATTGACAAGATTATTTGTTTCTTTTTCCATGAAGTTTCTCAATCATGGTGCCGTCAGGGCTTTTTTCCCCTTCATGGCGGTTGTTATTTGATATATTCCCCAAAAGAACTTAATTGGCAACAGGCTTTGGAGCGGTGCAATCGAAATGGTGGAACCTTGGCCAAGATAACTCGTGAGGGTTTGAGGTCTACTTTCTCCAATTTATTAGAAGAAATAAGACGCTTGAAGCCATATTATAATAATTTCTTCATTGGCCTGTTGAGCAAGGACGAGTGGACATGGATAGATGGCAGCCCATTAAATAGCTCATTGTGGAAGCCAGGATATCCAACAACAATTCAAAATACTCGTAGCTGTGGTTATCTGGCTGGTGGCTCATCGGGGATAAGGAGTGGTGCATGTACATGGAAGAGGTACCCACTGTGTCAGAAAAAAGCTGGTGAGTTGCTATGGTCAACTCCTTAGTTACATGCTAACGATTTGATATTGGTAAATGCTTCCTTTTTTCCTTTTTCTTAATATAGTTTTTTAAGTTTCCTAATTTTGGCTCACCAACGCCAAATTCAGGGAATTTTTTAATTTCTGTCTCGTACCAAATATATACACACATATACATTAACTTATTCTTCAGGGGATTTTAATCACAAGAATATACGTAGCCATCGTTAATAGCACAAGTTAAAGATGCAACCTCTGCTTTAAAGAAATATCACTGATTATCTGCCGACCTGAATATCATCCCTTAACAAACGAAATGAAGTTGTGTCTTCATGCCGCCACAGAAACAAATCGTTGCTGGGAAACAGCTAAACAAAACATCTAAATTTACCGCCACATCAGTTATGCACATTTTATAGTATATTAACGATGGTTACGATGGTTTTATATATATATATATATAAATCTTGATTATAGTCTATCCTTGCGGTATAGTGCTCGATGCGTTCGCAGAACGTGGAATATCTGAAAGTTGGACAAATCAATAAGACGTAACTTTTCTGTGACTCTGAGTTTCACGCTTACGCGATCATCAGACAGATTTTAATGAAGAATATACCTCACTTAGTTTCAATATATATACAGTAGTTAGTTAATTAGTAATTCTATTGTAATCTGGTGTCGATGTTCACTAGGGAGTATTTGTTCTCATGGCGGCATTTGGAATTTGAATTAATTCAGCTCTTCTGTTAAGCTTGCTTGCTTTGTCGGCTTTAATAATGTAGAGTTTTTCAGTTAGGCAGAGGTTACATCGTTTGGCAATATTGTTGTAGGCGCCTGCTGAAGAGATGATAGACTAGCTTATTTTGTAGTTTTCAATGTTGTCCTTGAGTTTTCAGATGTGTTTTGCTAGTTCGGTGCGGTTGGCGTATTTTCTGTTACGGAATGATAGTTTATGTTGCGTATATCGTTGTTTGAATGTTCCTTCAGTTAGTCCGATGTAGTTCTTTCCTGTGTCGTATTTGTCTGTGGTTACGTTGGCTTTGTAGATTACACTTATTGTGAGGCAGTTGTTGTCTAGCGGGCATTAGTTTTTTTTTCTACAGTGGCATCCGTTTTGCGGTGTGGTGTTGTTGTTGATAAGGATTTTCTTGTTGTTGTTGTTAATGTTGCCCATGTTTGGCATGCAGCTGTAGCTGACTTTCACGTTGTTCTTGTTGAAGACGGGGTGCACAAACCACAATCTGTATACTCGTCCTTGGGATTTTGCAAACCTCTCGAACATTCATAACAATTAAGAAGTTTCATTGCTAGATACAACTGTGACATTTTTACTAAATTATAGAAGGGTCATTATCAAACCGAAGTTTGATGAGAAGTTCAAGCATTTTGCAGCCATTTGAACCTATCCTGGCCATAGATCTATCTTACTCTACTTGCTTTCGTTCTTTGAAGGTAAGTAATGACATTGGTTACTTAATTGGCGAGTGAATTCTGTTGTAGAGTTTCTCCACTTCTTCTGGATCCAAAGCTGTAACAGAATTTTCTTTCCTTAATTGAAAATAGATGCATAGAAATATCACATGTTCTGGCTTGACCAAAATATTTTTCTCCGTGTTTTATATATTGCTTTTGACGCTCTTTTCGGTTTAGGAATCAAATCCCTGGTGGCAAGCAACCCTTGACAAACCGCGGTATGTCGTTTCTGTTTCAATAACCGACAAAATCGATTGCTGTCCACGAGACTCTGGAATCATCAATGTTAGTGTGACAACCAGTCAAACTGACTTGTCTCCAACATGTTCCAAATCGATGGCGTATGATGGAACGACACATGAATTCAGTTTTGATTGCTCACCACCCGCGCTTGGAAATCATGTAAAAATAACGTTGACGGGTGATAATGTCACGTTAGTTCTCTGCCATGTTGCCGTGGAAACAATTGGTAAATTATAAAAGATTTCTTTCTTTCTTTATTTTTTTGCCTGTTGGTCCTTTTTGGTGAGGGAAAGAATGAAGCTAATTTAGCTTATTTTACATTCTTTGGTATCAGCCTTCGCACTTGCTTATAATCTTTTGATAGAGATGAGCTAACGTGATGTAAGATTCTTCCATTCATCTATTCCACTCAGCAATTTTACTTTGGCCTGTTTCAAGTAAAACTGGACGTGAAAGTAAACACGTTTGTTCAATGTTTGACTTAATATAGAGTCGACCCGAGAGGTACACGGAGTTTTACGTGAAGGATGGTACAATAAACGCGAATATGACTCCAAAAAGACGTCATCTATGCGTGAACATCCTCTTATTCAAGGTCCACCTGAAAGCCGGATTATTTTGAGGGATTTTGATGCACCAATAAATCTGGCAGAGAACTATGTTCAAAGATTGACAAGTTACCTACAGGTATAATCTCATCAAAGCAAATGTATTTTTGCTCTAACCTGAGATCAATTGCAAGGCTTTTGAAGCGCTGTAAGGTACACTTTTCCTTTCGAAAAGTAGAGAGTATCTCAATTGAAAGGTAGTATGAACGAATGACTGTAATCATGCCTTTTTGACATATTAATATTAAGTTCATTGTCGCTGATGCTGCTGTTTATGTTGTTGGTGCTATCGCTTTTTGATTTAAAAAATATATATTTGTTAAAATTTGACCGAACAAGCCAATTATGAAATACTGTTTTAGGTTTCTCTGAGCGGAAATTACACTTTTTATGCCGCGTGCGACGACATGTGTGAGTTATGGAAGTATGATGTCACAGAGACAGGCATCAGAAGAGTTGAAATAGAATCTGGGGAAAGTGTGACGCCTCAACCAATTGTTTATGTTAAAAGATGGACACGTTATCGCCAATGGGACAAGTAAGTGATGTGCAAGCAGTACATTACTATGATAATTATTTTAGTGACATTTTTAATTGTTATTAGAACTGATATACTCTAATTACTTTGTTATTGAAGGTACCCAGGGCAAACATCTCAGCCAATCGTCCTTAAAAAGTGTCGCTTTTATCGAATGGTGATCTTCGGTAGAGAAAAAGGTGGCAACGATCACATATCTGTGGGCATGCGTAACCCAAATGGGGAATATGAACGGCCTATTACTGGGGAAAGACTGTTTTGGACAAAACCAGGTAGGGACATTCTGATTCGTTCATTTGGTTAAAGCGGAAAAAGGAAACGCACAAGGAAACAAAGTAAAAGAGAAAAACATGAACAGAGAGGGCTTCGCACTCATAAAAAAGAAGACAAACAAGCACACACAGAAACAAAACAGACTGTTCAATACAACGAGTTATCTATGTCTCTCTCTTGGATCCAGTCATCTTTAGCATGAAGCTGAAGCTCATAACTTCTCCTAGAAGCTACTGGAATTTCTTTTGTTCGGTGCCACTGATTAAACAAAGAAACAAAAGAAAAAAGACGTATTAGGAGACAAATATCTTCATTTCTTATGCTTTTTTCGATTGAAGTGTAAAATTTTATTTCTATTCAAAGGGACGCGTATTTTAGAAATGTCACTTAAGAATCACAAGACATCGATATCTGCCTTCGTTGGGTCAAATTTACTCATAACAGGTTGGTTTATTGATATTGCCCTACATCTACAAGGATTCTCTCACTTGTATTGAAAATATGGGGAATCGGAAAGATTTAAGTGATCATGAGGGAATCAACCCCTCTAAAGGAAGTGGGAGCTCTCTACTATCAAGAAGGATCTTGATAAGATATAAGGGTACTTAGTGGCCACACTTTTTACTAACAGTGAAAAAGTGGCCCGAGTTACAAAAAGAAAAAAAAAGAAATTAAAAGAAACAGCTTCTTTTGTTCCAATTTCTTTACATAAATTATCATCATCTGATTGAAAAAAGTTCTTGGCCGGTACGGTGTGACGTTCGGAAATATATCAATTAAAGAATACCTTTGAGAGAGATTTCTCAGAAGTCTCTCAGCTGAGACGCAACAATGCGTCGAAAAAGCCTCGAACAACCCTTTCATAAGCATTTGATGATTGCTAACTCGGAAGGCGTGGTTAGGATTAACTTTACGAGAGAAGGACGGTAGACTATCAGTTTAGACTTGCGAATGGAACTTTAAACTCGATGATCCACCAGTTTGCACTCATATTTTGGGAGGTAACTAATGAATCTATTCTCATAAGTTTCAGTTTCGCCAAGTAAAGATGTAGACGGTAGAATAGGTTCATTATACAACATGTTTGGCCAAATTTTAGGATATTACAAGTTTTGCTGTGAGGGAGTCTATTGTCCTGATTGCCCACTGGAACTGAATATCTCAAGCCCCGGACAAAATCTAACAGTGAACTCAGCAGTGAGCCTGTCCTGTGTTAACACATCATTTGAGGTAGCTTTTAACACGATCGATCAACCTGGAAATTTTACTGTGAAGGTGAGAAGCCCTCATTTAAGTAGCTGTCATCATTTAAGTGATGACTCCTATTGCATTTATGGCAAGAAAATTGACGAGACACCGTGGCATGCTTATTTGAAAAATTTGGCAAGAATATGAATCATAATGAAGCAAATGAATGATAGACTTTGAAATTGTAGGGGTTTGTTTTTCATCACCGTGTTATTTTGAATAACTTGTCATCGGCATAAGTAGAAATACATTGGTCTGAACTATTTAAGAGTATGTCGACCCCATCACCCTACAAATAGAAGTAAAACAAACGCACGTAGTCGAATCTTTGTGGCGAGAGTAGTGCATTACTTTTGCATTAACCAGGTTGGATGACTACAAATCATTTATTTGATAAGGACACAGCCTTAAGGTAAAGCAAAGTGGTGCGTGCATGAACGATAAGCCTCACTGAACTGGAACCTGTTATGTCTTGAAGTAATACCTAACCCATACGCTGTGACTATTTTCAGGCCAGCTATTCATTCGTGGAACATCCAGAGGAGATTCTCGAGGAGCGAGTTTTGGGACAAGTAGGTCTAAAAGGTATCTCCTTTTGCATTATATAGGATTACAAGAATTACAAGAATTACAGTGTCTGTGTGAATCCGCTGCGGTGCTCTTTAACCGCTGCTAACGGAGATATTTTTTTGTGTTTCCTTAACAGCGGTGGTGCTAGAAGAATGCTACTTCGAGTCTGGAAAATGCGACTGGACTAGCCCACATGCAAATTCCAAGTGGAAGCTCTTTCCTGGTACGAAATCTTTAAAACACTTCTATAACCTTAAGTACTTAAGAAAAGAAGCGCAGTACTGCGAGCAACAGTTAAGTTTTTTTTGTAATTGACTTGCTTTTCCTGGTAACAAAGAATAATCGTTGGAATAAAATTATTTCGCTATAAACCATTCCCTAAAAGAAATAAAGTTTGAATAATAAGGCTAAATTAAGGAGATCTGAATTCAATTGGCAGACTGTGATCCTAAATTCAGAAATTTTTTGTTTAAACGTCGCTACGAATAGAAAAAAGCATTAAAAAACATTTCATGCTATGAAATTTATTGTACACATTTTTATCCTAGACGATTTTGCATACATTAATGGCCCTTACAAAGCGCAGTTACAGAGTCCACCATTACTATGGGAACCATTTCATCGAGTCGTTGGCTTGTGCTTACGGTTCACTTACCGTATAACTTTTAAATCAAAGTCAACCATAAAAGTTCTTCTTCGAGAACCAAGAAAAGAGGAGCTAATTTTAGCATGGCAGCTTAGGGGATACTATGGTAAAGAATGGTCAGAGGCTGAGGTGTCTTTGCCCGGCGTAGCAGCAGTTCAGGTCTGTGAGTTATGACTATGAAATTTATTCGATTGAACTCTTCATTTATTTCTGGAGTTCATATTCATTTTTTTTTATGAATCTTTGACATTTGCTATGATAGGTGATGATACGTACTTCATTAATCTCTTTGTCTAGATTATATTTGAGGGAGAAGGCTTTCTTCATAACCAAGTAAATGCAGCAATCAAGAACGTGATTGTAACCACCGAGAAATGTGGCTTGCTACCATACTTTGCAAAACCAGGTTATATTTCCGGTTTTCTTTTTTTTTCTTTTTTGTGTGTTGCTGGTTTTGAGTATGACAAGATTGAGTTAACCTTAAACAAAAAAAAAACAAAAAAAAACAAAAACACAACAAAAAAAGGGAGCAATTGTCACTGACGTTACCGATTCTTTGAATTCATATCGAATAAAAAGGTTTATTAAGTTTGCATGCATCTGATGGATGATAAAGAGAAAAGAAAGGAAAAAACCATATGTTTTCTTAGCTTTAATTGATCACATTGGTTTTCAGGTTTTAGTTGCGGGAATAAACAGTTTCAATGCAAGAATGGCGAATGTGTCAAGGAAAATTTGCGATGTGATGGCGACTTTGCTTGTACCGATGATTCGGATGAAGATAATTGTGAATGTCCCTCCAATAAGTTCGCTTGTCTGGATGGAAAATGTCTTCCAGCATCAGCTGTATGTAACGATATAAATGACTGCTCTAATGGGGATGATGAAAATAACTGCCGTGAGTAAATCTGCTTTCGCCTTCCACTTTTTGAGTCTTGATTTCATTAAAGTGAAACCCACTATTTGCCATTCCCATCTATGCATGCTGAGTAGCATTTCCATATAGTTTGGAATTACTGCTTTTTAGGAAATAGGTGCCCCTTTAAGCATCACTGTCTTGATGGATCATGCATTGATTGGTCAAAGACCTGTATTCAAGAGCCTTCCTGCAAGGATGGAACTAACACAGCATCAGTATGCGGTAAGTAAGGCAAAGAAAACTTCTTAACCAACAAGATCTATTTTTTGAAATGACTCGTTCTTGTATCGAGGGCCTGAGATTTCAGGCCTCTGTTTTGATCTCGTCGTAATCCATTTATCGCTGAAAGATAACAAAATAAGCTATGTGAGCCACAAATGGACATGATCACAAGGTGTTAGACATAAAAGCGTCATCTTCGGGAAATTATGGCTATTATTTTCGGGTCTATTAGCGTAATGGACGACAGCGATGTTTTTGAGATGTTCTAATTGCTAGAGGTTTCCAATATGTAAATTTTTGTCTTGATCGAATGCTCATGAACTTGTGAAGACAAATAAGAATCTATTACGGAGGGAAACTTTTGTTTACGTGGAACAAAATTCTCAACAACTAATTGATTATGTCGTCATAATTGGCGGAATTAATTGTTAGAGCTTAACAGTGAAGTAGGTAGCATGTTTCACAGAGTCAATAATTCCATTGCAGGATATGGGAAATGCCGCCTTAACGACTTAGCGTGTTCATCCAAAGAGTCCAAAGAACCAACAAGATGTAAATCTTTCAGAAGTAAGTCCATGGCTTTGTGTTGCCAATATAGCGTATAAATAAACTCAAATTTAGCGCAGAGAGAAGAATATTGCTGGTTGTAGGGCACATGCGCCAGCGGTGGCTTGTCACCGTAACGTTAGGGCAACAAAGATAGAGTGAAGACCGAAAAATTTCTGAGATTATATATCGGGAGTCACGATAATCCATTAGGCATTTCCTAACTGCTGTAATTTCAAACAGGTTTTTGCAATTTCGAAAATGACTTGTGCCAACTTAATCCGGATATGAATGCCACTTTCCAATGGACCACAGCTTCAGGTGAAACACCAACGGAGAAGACTGGGCCAAGTTATGATCATAGCACGTTAAGCAAAGACGGTAAGAGGCGAAATGAAATGTTCCTCTTACGTAGGAAAACAAATAATATCGATCAGGTTAAAACAGTGCATCTTACTTTAAATCCTTACCTAGCTTGTTTTGCATGGTGCAGTACGCTCAAGTTAGTACGAAGGCACATTCTCCTTGTGACGTCTGTGTTGGGAAAGTTATGCCTTATATTAGTTTGGTGCCGTGGTGCCGTTGAATAATAACATCAACGGAAAATCGAGAAATGGCGTCATGACAAGCTTTTTATCATCACGCGTGCACTTTTGCTTTACGGTCACTCACACATTCCTCGGTGCTCTAACAAGAAAGGGAATTTGGAATAAATTACACAAAGAAAGTAATGCAGAACATTTGTTACTTCATAGGGTCGTATATCCATATCGAAGCTTCTCCGCAACGCTCTGGGGACGTGGCAAGGTTGTTAAGCAAATGGATGGAATCCAACCAATCAGCTTGTGTTCAGTTTTGGTATCATATGTACGGGTCAGGTGTCGGTAATCTGAGCTTTTATTTGAAGACTAATCAATCCGAGACATTAGTTTGGAGACTGTCAAGCGATCAAGGGGATCGCTGGAAGTTTGGTCAATTTTCTCTGATTAGTGAAAAGGCTCATAGGGTAAGTTATACTAAGCTTCCGAAGTGCCTTATCTTTCGTTTGAAACTGTAATCTTTACTTTTATTTTTATGGCTGGAACTGTTCTCATTGTCTGAAAATCTAATTGAACAAGCAGCTGCCAAAGCATGCACATAAGTGTAAATTGATCTGAATATTTCAAGTCGGGTTAATTTATTCGCTGATCTTGGCTTGGTGGTGAGCGGTTCTTAGTAATTCGCTTTCTTTTAACGTACATTGAGTTATATGGAGAATAATAACGTTAATGAGAATGTTTCCGCAAGTTATGTACTCTTTTTATGCTGTTTGCAAAGTTTGTCGTAGAAGGGACGACTGGTGATGGACGGGAAGGTGACATTGCGATAGATGATATGTCTGTGTTGGATGGAAACTGTAAGAAGATTATTGCACAAGGTATGGATTAAAACGCACAGTGGGAAAGCAAAGCAATACAATAAAAACATTACTTGAAATAATTTTTTTAACGCCGCTACAGTTCTTTTATACTCCTGAAATATTTCGAGGCGGCTTCTTTAGTGATCTTCTGAAAAAATTTACAGCGCACTTGGCGTAGCCCCATACCTCAGCAAATCTGGTAACCTGTTCGGCTGAACAATTTTGGTCGTAACGCGATGTTCGTCGTCCGTCCTTCTGTATTCTCGTTCACCCGAAATGACAAATTATACTTTGCATAAGCGAAAAGCTGCAGTTTACACATGGCTATTTATCAGTAGAAGTGAAAGTGGATGAAGTTAAGCGCTTGCGTAAGTCGATGACCAGCTCGTAGACCAAAGGTGCATGTGCCACTAAATGTTGTTGTAACTATATGGAGTGCAAAAATTCGAGATCTGCCCTACATAATGTAAGCACAAGTTAGACCAATTGGACATCTTCGTGGGAGAGTAGTCTTGGACTAACAAACTTTGCTGTTTCAATGCAACATCGACCCAACCAATCTAGCTTTAGCTATATTACTGTCCACTCACGAGAGTTTACTTTAAAATGGAAGAGGTTAAAAAAACTGTGTCAGTCAAACGTGGGGAGAAAAACCCTTAAGAGGGTGAGGTTGACAGTAAGAAGCTACGAAAACTAACCATTCGTTCTTCTGAGATATAATTTATGAATTTGATAAAAAAAGGTTTCTATCATTTCTTTCAATCTTTAGACAGTCCAGACTGCAGTTTTAGAGAGGATACGTGTGATTGGGAGACTCGGGAAGGATGGACTCTCTCTAAACACTCACCTGACCCAGTTTTACAAAATTATGGTATGATTTTATTGTCAAGTTCGAGACTTTTCATTTCATTTTTTGTAGGCTGAGAAGTTGCAATAAGGTTTATATTGATGGAGGCTTTGAGCTACTGTATATCTTTTTAATTCCAAGTTCTTGCCGATCCAAGTAGGCATCGATGCTGTAGATCGGGAAAAGCTTGGAATAATGTAGAAATTCAGTGACTCAATGTGTCAATCAAATCATCCATTCAATCGAAATGATATTGATGGACAACTTCAAACGTTTGCATTCTGTCTACTTCAAATATTTTAGAATAGAAATAACACAATATGAATATTGATTTAACACTGGGCAATCCACATTGCACATACTTGCTGGCAGGCTAGCTGAGCGGCTGACAGACTGACTTGCTCACAAACTGACTGAACGAAAGACAAACTGAACCAGTGACGGATTGTCGACCGATTAACAGACATCAGCACTTAACATATTGAAAATATCTCTTATGTGAAATCGCTGTTAACCTCTTTCAGGCCATAATCAAATCGTTGCAGTTAATTTCTTACTTCACTGTTAGGTCCAAGCGTATCATTCATTTTTCTCCGCGCCGGAGCATCTGAAGTGCCTCATACACTCTCGTCCCCAATTATAAACACTATCGAATGGAAGTGCTTACGCTTATGGTATTTCATTGGTGCCACAAACTTGTACAAAACGTCGTTACAAGTGCTTCTACAGTCGTTAATATCGAACCTATCCACACTGCTTTTCTTTGTGGATGAAGTGGCAAGTGCGACAAACTATACTCAGATACCGTTGCCGAGCAATTACAGCAAAGCAAAGGTACCAAAATATAATTCTTGTTAGTACACTTGTGACAAAAAATTTTTGCTGGCTGTAATGACGTTTTGAGATTCTAACTCAGCTTCTATGTATACAATTCCCTTTTTTCTATTACGAACATCTCTTATCAATTGTTTCAGACAGATTAATGTGTTAAGAAGTACAGTCCCCTAGTATTAATTTAGTAAGAAATTCCTATACTTGTGACTTATGTATGAACGTCTTCTTTAAACACAATACAGCTTGAATTGCTTGGTATTTATGAAGAGTTTGGTGGCCAAATTCTGGCCATTGAACAAGTTTCCTTTTCAAAAGAGCCTTGTGACCCAGTTTCTTGGCGACAAAATGGTAAGTTTACGTGTATAAGACTTGAAAGCTAAGTTTTGTAAATTCACTGCGTTTAATACTGAGCGCAGACTACCTTAAGGACGACTCTTTTATTACAGAAAAATCTATACTAATAGCCTAAAATTCATTTAGTTTTAAAATTCGTTAAACTGTGTATCTTACTTTACAAAATCGTACCCCTCTGACGGAAACTTTTTTTGAAGGGAATGTTTGTTCGTTAAGTTAGCACTAAATTATACGCTTATCTGTACATGTAACGTTTCCTAACTTTAAAATCTATGAGTAATTAATGTCATAAAACCTCTAGATATCAACGAACCCCTTGGAATGCAAAATGGTGAAATAGAAGACACGCAAATCAGTTCTTCATCATCAATGGACGAGGCTCACGCTGCCAGTCGAGGCCGTCTACACTTAAACGAAACTGCAGGAAAGGCAGGCGCTTGGTCCGCCGGCACAAATGAAAACAGCCAGTGGCTCCAGATTGATCTGCGTAATAATAACATCAGAGTCACGGGTGTTGCGACACAAGGGAGAAACGGACGGTACGCCCAGTGGGTAACGAAATATAAGTTACAGTCCAGCGATGATGGGGTAAACTTCCAGTTCTACAAGGACCCTGGAAATATTGCTTTTAAGGTATGTGCGAAATCCATGAGGCTGCCCACTCTTTATGTCAATTATTAATCTTTTTAGATTATATCGACCAATATAGTATAACTTTATGGAGTGTAATTACCGTCAAAAATAAATGTTTAATTATGATATCCACAATTTCAGTAATGACATTGAGATATGCAATTGTGCTATTCCAATGTGACGTCTTAATATTCTATTTGGTCCTTGTGTTATGACATTATGCCATCACATTTGACTATTTTACTTTTGCAAAGTGCTGATTTGTCACTCTACCTTGGCGATCGGCTTTTACAATTTGCTATTTTGCTATTGTATTCTAGTATTCTTCCATTTCGACACTGGGAAAAGCCGTTTTGCTGTTGTGATTTGTCATTTTCATAGCGCGTTTCATTATGGTGTGACACTGAGACGTAATATGAAAGAAACTGAATGTGTGTAATCTTTGTGGCTTAACACGGTTCGTTATCACATGCTGACTTCGTGTCAAGTGTAAATTTCAATACAACTACTTCCTTAAAGAGTCACTATTTTGCTAATATAGGATTTCGCTGGAAACAAAGACCAGGATTCGGTTGTTTATCACGAGCTTAAGTTTCCTATCAGAGCACGATTCATTCGCTTTCAACCAGAGGCTTGGCATGGGCAAATATCAATGAGAGTTGAGTTGTATGGTCATCAGAAAGGTATGTTAATCAAAACCGTGTCATTTTATCTTCAAATTAAAAAAAATGTGAAATTTTTTTATTGAACCAGTATATCCTCAAAGGAAACCAAAATAAACAAAACAGAAAAGGCATAACATTCCGAAAAAGAAAAAATTATAGAGGTTCACCATGAATTTGATTTTGATGAGCAAAACCATGTGTCACCTCCATTCTCAAATAGAATGCCAGAAAGCTCTGGGTATGGAAAACAAAGAAATCTCCGATGGGCAAATTCGTGCCTCTTCCAGCTGGGATGGCAACTCTGTCGCCAGCCGTGGGAGATTATCAATTAAAGCATCTGGCCGCATGAGAGGAAGCTGGACAGCTTCTGCGAGGAATCCACATCAATGGCTTCAGATTGATCTTGGAGCCAACGATACTAAAGTTACAGGTGTAGCTACTCAAGGAAGGCAAGATGCTGACCAATGGGTTACCAGTTACAAGCTTCAATATGGTAATGATGGATTGAATTTTCAGTACTACAAGGATCAAGGTGCGGACAAGGTGAACAAAAATTATCTTGATTTTTGGAAAACCTCCATTAACATCGAAAGTTGTAAAATAGGGTTTGGATTAGGGGGAAAATTCTCAGCCGCCAAACTAAGTCATAAGTTTATGGCATAACTTACAGTTTGGCAACTTTGATAAAGTTAATGTAACTTTCATGCAAGCTGGCTCTAAGACTTAAGAGTTCAACGGAAAACACGCAGCAATTTGAATACACGACTAGCCTGCTTTTGAGTCTTGCTTGCCGTGAGCACAAGGAAGTATGGACTGAGCTGGTCTAAAGTCAAAGCCAGCGTTTGAGTATCGGATTACAAGTTGTAAAATCACTATGTCGTTTTATCTCTCATTGCTTTTCTTCAAAGCGGTTTTGAAGTCTCAGGCGCGTATAGGGTTGCTGCGAAAACGTTCTCCGAATAAATGAGTCTTGCTTGCATCTACCTGATGGTACAAGACTTTGTAAAGCGATATTTTCAGTTGTTGGTTTCAAAGTAATGATAATAATGACAATAATAACAAATAGAAAAACACGTTTTACCAGCTCGATCACATAAACAAAGATAAATGAAGTGCGAACACACCATGAAAAATGAGGATGAGGTGGTGTTTAAGTGGAGGACAATATTTATCCGGATCTCTTCGAGCTCACATAATTCTAGGTTAGTTTCTCAAATTATCGTTCAATTTTACACGAACCACTATCTTTTTTACCTATACAGGATTTTTCAGGAAACAGCGACCGTGATACGGTTGTTTTTCATGAATTAAAACCGCCCACCAATGCCCGCTTCGTTCGTTTTCTCCCAGAGGCTTGGCAAAACCACATATCAATGAGGGTGGAACTATATGGCTGTCTCGATGGTAGGCAACATTTTCATATTTATGAATTGTATACCGAGTCATTTAGTCTTTCACAGATCGAAACTTTTCTGGGGTCCTTTGCAAGACCCTACCTTTATTCTTCTTCGCTTTCATGATATTTTTAAGGCCCATGTCATACGTACTATTTTATAGTTCGTTTTTAAACTACTTTTTGTCAATTTATTGATATACCACCAGAATGTCAGGAACCTCTGGGTATGAAAAATGGTGCAATTTCCGATGGACAAATAAGCGCCTCTTCACATTGGGACAATTATCATGCGGCTTGGCAGGGTAGACTAGATTATAAAGGGACATGGAAAGCAGGGTCGTGGTCATCACGAGGTAATAATATACGTCAATGGCTCCAGATTGATCTGTATAGTCCATACATGAAAGTTACAGGAATTGCCACACAAGGTAGAAATGGTCACGATCAATGGGTGACACGGTATACATTGTGGTACAGCAACGATGGTAGAAATTTCCAACCCCACAAGGAAGCTGGAGAACGGACGGAAAAGGTGAATATTACGTTGTACTCTTTGAATACATATCAATCAAGAAAGTTTAATCATTAGAAAGTGACTTTTTTTTACTGCAAAAGCTATTTAGTGTTTGGAGCGTGATATCGCATATTCTGATGTTTTGACCCTATACGCAAGCTAGAACCATGGCCAATCAGGCTACAGTTAAATTGAAACCATCCAGTTAAGTAGTAAGATGCAATCTTTTGGTTATAAGGATTTTGGTACTATGCAATTTTCAAAAAATTACCCGTGTCTGATTGCAAGGGGAATCTGGATCCTGGTACCAACCAGATCCTCCGCTGCAAGTTTTCCCAAAGTTTGACCCAAATGGGATGCACCAAAATTCACGGTTCACAACAGCTACAGACTAGGTTAACAAAAGCGATTTTAAATGGCAGCTTACCTAGATAGTTTTGGACACCTTCAAATTCGAAAATGTTTCAACCTTAGAAAGTCTATCAAAGCTGAAGAGGACGGCTGTTACATAACTCTTCAAATATGTTTTAATTGAGGAGATTAATTTTAATGATACCTGGAGCATTTTTTAAAATTATGGTTTACTGCCTTTCCATTCAGAATTTTGATGGAAACAGAGACCGGGATACAATTGTTTATAATAGAATCAACCCACCAGTCAAAGCTCGCTATATCCAGATTAGACCACAGGCCTGGTACCGTCACATTTCTATGAGGACAGAGCTTTACGGTTGTCTGGAAGATGTCAGTGGGGGTAAGGAATGTATTAACATTTAAAGCTATCAGGTGTGCAGAGGATTTTTACATTGTTGCGTACTGAAATTGCCTCTCAAGTTGTTTCTTGTCCTTAGTTGATGCGCTCCGATTATAATTTGTTTAAACCTCCTTATGTTGCAAACAAAGTTATTGGAAAATAAGGTAATTTGGTTTAATCAACTGAGTTGACATTGCAGAGAAGGTAAACAGCTTAATATTCAATTTGGCTTTTCTATTTAAAGTGGAGAATCCTACATGTAGATTAGAAGGTAACTAGTAAGGAAGAGATCAAAACTCTTCGCGTATATCTTAACCTTCATTCAAGCCCCTTAGACCATGGGTTTTCTTCCCGTAGTATCCATCAACATATCAGACTGTCAACAAGCTCTTGGCATGGAAAATGGTGCAATCGCTGATGCACAAATCACAGCCTTTTCTATCTGGGACGATCACCATGCTGCGTCTCAAGCCAGACTGGAGTTTAAAGCAAATAGGAAGAAATCTGGAGCTTGGTCAGCTAGCAGAAACGATGTTCAACAATGGCTTCAGGTGGATCTAGGTAGTCAGTACGCCAAAGTTACGCGTGTAGGAACACAGGGGAGAGATGAATATAGCCAATGGGTAATCAAATACAAGCTGCAGTCTGGTAATGATGAAGCTGAACTTCAGTTTTATAAGGAAAGAGGAACAAATATAGACAAGGTTAAGTAATTTAATGTATTGAAATAATTCTCTTTAATTTACAAAACAATCGGGCAGCCTACTTGTTGGTTTGCCTCCTTACATATTCCAATATTCATTCGTTATTACCTAATTTAAAATTTCTATTTATTCCCTATAGCAAATTAAACCACACAAATAATGATAATGAAATGTAACTAAAAAATTTATGAACAACGACAAGGTTTCATTGCGTAAACAGCATAAAATTAAAAGACGACAAAACTTCGAGACAGATATTGGGGAAACAAAAATCGTTCATATGTTTAAATGACCTCCTATCAAGTCGCAGACTCAAAAGTATGTTTAGAGGAACATATCATATCCTCGGGTTATTAACACTTTTCCAATTCTCTCCCCAGGAGTTTGATGGTAACTCAGATAGAAGCACTATCGTTTTCCATGAACTAGAGCCACCCATAAAAGCACGCTTTGTTCGTTTTCGACCTCAAGATTGGTTTAACCACGTGTCAATGAGGATAGAGCTTTACGGCTGTCGAGGTAAGAATGGAAGACAAGGTTCCTAACTATTAAACGAAACAATTCAATCGATATGCATTATGCTGACGATAAATGAAACCCAATATTGATTATCAACCCGACTTCATCGTGCATCATTTGAGTATGGAGAAGAAAGTTATGTGCATTGCTTTCATTCACTATCGAGATACAATCGACTTCGTATCATTTTGTAGTACAATTTAATCATGTACCGTGATCTACTGAAAATAATAATTTTTACTTTTGCTCAAATATTTCGTTAAACGTTTAGAATGTCAGGAACCTCTCGGTTTGGGAAATAGTTCAATAACAGACGGGCAATTAAGTTCTTCTTCTCAACTGGACGATGCTCATACTGCAATGCAGGGGAGACTTAACTCTAACGCAACCGGAGGTTCAGGAGGATCTTGGTCAGCTAGTAATAACAATTCGAGTCAATGGCTTCAGATCGACCTTCTTGATCAAGGTAATAATGTGACCCGTGTGGCTACTCAAGGAAGACATGATGCCAGCCAGTGGGTTACGAAGTACAGACTGCAATACAGTGAAGATGGTAAAATCTTCCATTTTTATCGGGAACCAGGAGATACAGCAGGGAAGGTGATTAGACTTTGTTTGCTTGTTTTTTTTTTTTGTTTTTAGAAAAAGGATCAGGAAAACATAAAAAAATGTGTATTTTTTACTTATCTTGCCCTTACACTTGCAAGCGAGGGGTACAATCTTGTTATACACAATTAAGCCTGACGCGGTGGGGAGATTTTTTATTACTCTTCTTTTTTCAGGTTTTTGATGGAAACGAAGACCAGAATTCTATTGCTTATAATGAACTTGACCCACCCATCACAGCACGTTTTATCCGCTTTCAACCAGTGTCTTGGTATGGCCATATATCTATGCGAGTAGAGCTGTATGGCTGTCAAGGTACTGAAAGAATAACATTGTAAACCTACTACTACTTCTACTACTACTACTACTACTACTACTACTACTAATAATAATAATATAAAATAATAATAACTTTATTTAAGTGTCAGTGTATTTTAGCACTGCTGTGCTAATTGGGGACACTGTAAATAAGGAAACAAATATCGTAAATGAACAGAAACTCGTTAAAAACCCCAACTGGTAGGAGGCAGACCAGTTGGCTATTTACAAAGCGTGCAGGAGTTGAATTAGGGGCCACCGAAGACAAATACCAGTGGCAACCACTGGGCCAGGCCTCCCAAACTACAACAGGACTAACCTACTGGACCTACTACCACTACTGCTACCTCCTACTACTGCTACAACTACTACTACTACTACTACTACTACTACTACTACTACTACTACTACTACTACTACTACTACTACTACTTACTACTACTACTGCTACTACTACTACTACTACTACTACTACTACTACTACTTACTACTACTACTACTACTACTACTACTACTACTACTACTACTACTACTACTACTACCTACTACTACTACTTACTACTACTACTACTACTACTACTACTACTACTACTACTACTACTACTACTACCACCACTACTACTACTACTACTACTACTACTACTACTACTACCTACTACCACTACTACTACTACTACTACTACTACTACTACTACTACTACTACTACTACTACTACTACTACTACTATTACTATTATTACTACTACTAATACTACTTCTACTTCTATTGCTACAACTGCTACTACTGCTCCTACTTTAACATTTACTATTACTACTAGTTAACTTTCCTCTCTAACTTTTGTTAGATGATCGTCCGTGCGAGACATCAGTGGAGTCGTGCAGATGGAATATTACGCGGGGTTGGAAAAGAATGAAATACAGAGATCTTGACAATATAGGTAGTGACGCCGATGATGAAGGTTGGTTGTTTTGGCACATTGTGTCATTCGTTATTTTCTTTTTTCTCAAGACCTCCCTTACCTTTTTTTTTTTGTTTTTGCTCCGTTTTACCAACTTAACGCCTAAAACAAGCTTGATAGCTTCTTACGGAGATTGACGACTGAAGGAGGGTGCATTTTTAATGTTATATTTCTGCTTTAGGGATAATCAACGATGAAGACTACGAGATCCACTTCCCCGACAGTAGCCGTGGCTATGTCTCATTCTCAGACATTCGACAGGCGAAAGGGGGATTCACCATCTGCTTTTGGTTAAAGACGTCAAATGTTGGTTTTTTTATCGAATATAGAACTGAGGCATCGGGAGATCAAAATGAAACGCTAGTATTTGGGCTCTATTGTGGTAACAAAACCTTTGATATTCTATTGAGAAACCATAGAAGGTATCGAAAAGTTTTTATTTGTGTTTTATTTTTTGCTTTGTTTTTGATAATGTGTTATTAAGTCATGACTTGTACGTGGGTTATCCAAAAAATATTATTTAATCTAAAGATAAAAATCTGAAATAGCCAGGGCGGAAGCTTTTTCTGGGATCCACATATATGACCGCCACCATTCGGGCGTGTATGGGTTACTGGGCGTTTTCCAAGATCACGGCATTCGCGGTTAACTTTCCAGAGTATTTGCAGAGAAATTTCGAACGGTTATGTTACCCTTCGAAATTTCAAAACAGGGAAACTTATGATTTTTAAAAAATTTTAATTCAACGATGCTAGAGATATGATTCGTTTTGGAAAAGAGAAATGGTAACTTTTAAGCTCGGTTATGAAGAAGAGATAGATGGAGTTTATCTTGTTATGAGCGTTTCCTTCCATTTTTTGTTCAAAGGTCGTTAAAAGATGAATAACATATTTCTGTATACACTGTTTTCTTTCAAAAAGATATTTCTCCTTCATTTAGAAGTCTTTTGTTCATTAATTTTCATACACAGTCAATATTCAATGGGTATGACAGATGATTCTTGGCACTACGTGTGTGTGCTACTGGACGGCAACATCGGATTACTAGCTGTATTCAAAGATGGTCACAGGAATTTTAAGGAAGCTCGTGGGAGGGCACCCAATTATGAATTTTGGACGGCTGGTAATAGCAAGAAAATAAATTATTCTCACAGGTGGAAAACAACTAAAAAAAAACCAAAGAAAAAGCAAAAGCAAAAAAAAAAAAAAAAAATCAAATATTTCAAGTTGATTTGAAAGGCGTTAGTTATAAATCATACTCATGTTACATATTTGATGCATATTACACGTTCTTGAGCAGAAGCCAAGTGGCAACAGCGTGGAAGGTGGAGTGTGTTGGACTGTTTCCATTTGATTGCGTTCTTATGGGACAATAGGAAATATAATTGAACGAGACTTTATTCGATTTAGCCGTTTGGTAGCGATGTATTTCAAATATGTCACTTTTTAATTGTAAAAATGTATGTATTTTGTCAAAAACCTGTAACGGAAGGAAGCCAGCAATGATTATGTAATTATGGCAGAGAAAAAAATGTTAAATTATTTTGAGCTACCATATAAAATATATTCAAAGCAATTTGTGTTTCGAATACCTACAGGAACCATGACAGTTGGCTTCAGGAAAACGAACGACAGTGACTCAGCTGTTCTTGGCAAACTGAGTGGCCTCAATATATGGAGCTACCCTGTCTCAATAAAAGAGATTCTGCGCATGTCATATGGCTGTGGAACTGAAGCAGGAGACTCCAAATCCTGGGAAACAGTCAGGGGTAAGATAACTGGAGAAGTTGATGTTAAAGGCTCCAGAACATGCAAGGACAGAAAAGGCAAGTGTTCTGTAATGAGCAGAAATTATCGGTAAAGCTTAATTTTACCTTGTAATTAGTAGCATGCTGTTAATCCTGTTAAATAAGTAAGGTATGTCTTTTCGCTATGAAAATGATATGCTTTTTAACTTGTTTGTTTTTTCTTGGAAGGAGAAGAAAGATTCTAAGAAAAGTAAAGACAAGTTTTAAAAGTAGACGCGTGTTGAGTCACATAACAAATTTTTATTTCGATAATGCGGACAGTACCCTCCAAGCTTCCTTTTTCTTTATTTGGGTAGGCACACAGTATCAACAAGCCGTTTTGTTCGTTTCCGTCATTGTTTATTCGAACATCGTTGACTACTTCAGTCATAGGATCTTTACGAACTAATGAATGTTTATTACTTGGAGTATATCGTGCATAAATGTAAAAATACGGCGGGACAATTTTTACAGAGTTTGCGTACATCCAAGGCTAAGAAAATTGAAAAAATGTGACTTCCTCTACCACGCGACTTTCGTTTAGAGGTTTTCATTATTTTGGCAATCGTTCGGCAAGATCTTAGCCCTTGGTCTGTGAACAAACTTATGGTTACTGATGAATGAATACATTAAAGTTATTTTTGCTAATAGAACTGAACTCAATATGTTCCCAGGTGGCAGACTTGTGGCAGATGGCATTACGGCCCCCGTTAATCAAAGCGCACTTTTTGTGAGTCCTCTTTACGATGCATCGCACGATGGCAAGAGTCGATGTCTACGGTTTCGTTACATGCTGCAAGGACCTGGGGAGAAAGCACTGACAGTTTACCGGAAGACAAAAACGTATCGTGAAATACCTATTTGGGTCTCAAAAGGCATCACCCGGGGGAACTGGGTTTATGGTCAGGTTCAGCTCAGCTCCATTTCAGACTTTCAGGTATAGAATTGGGCTTCTTCACCTTTTCTTAGATTTTCTCAAACGAAGTAGACCTTCTTATTCATTCCTTTCGTCTAATGGACAAAACCATCAGCTTTCCGATGTTGGTATAATAAGTTACATCAAAACAAGCCGTCCAAAAAAAATTGTGCGGACATATCGTTTACATTTGGTGGAAATTTTTTCTGAGTTGCCACGCGAACCTTAATCTATCATACTTATCCCATCCCCGCAACACCAACATCGCGAGCGCACTAATAAAGCCTCCAGGCAGTAGAAACTGCGATGAGATTAGTAATTAATTGCAGAAATTGTTTCATTACCGCGTAAGGTGTTTATAAAAGCGGAAATGGAGAGGAGAGAAGACTTGATAGCGTTGACAGGGCTGTACATCGACGAGGGAATAAATTGCAGAGTGACGCCACTGTCGGCGAAAGAAGGTGGAGTATAGCAATGTGATTAGATAGAAAGAGGAATAATTTTTTTAAATCAAATTACGTAAGGGCGCCATTGCCACTAAACTTTGAAACAATTGTGTTTTTGAAGCAATTGAAATTGTTATCGCGCAACTCTGGGACGACACTGCTGCTGTTATTTGCGCTCATGAGGCACTGCACATGTACTTCGTGTCTAATGATAGTGACACCGGTCAGGTTGTTGAGGCAGACACTTCTTAACATTCTCGCCTTCATCTGTTGTTTCTCTTTCAGCTTGCCACGAGAACTTAACCAACGAAATAGGATATTTCTTCTCTCCTTCATATCCTGGAAATCTTCCAGATGAAACTTTTTGCAAATGGCACATCACTGTCCAGAAAAACCACATCATTCGTTTGGAATTCCAAGAGTTTTTACTCACGAACCACCCCACATGCGAGAGGTGTTTCCTTCAAATCTTTGATGGACGTGATTTATCTGCGACCGCGATAGGAAAATTTTGCGGCTATATGCATCCTCCAGTTGTCATTTCCTCATCAAATCATTTCACGATTGTTCTCCGCTGTGTTGAGGGTTTGCGAATGACAAGATTCAAGGCCTTTTATCATTCTATTAGAAGTATGTTATATCTCAATGATTTTAAATTTCGAAAATATATCGACCTGTTTTAGATGTATAAATCTTTGTAAAATTGAATTTAAAGTTCTGGAATTAAAAGATAAAAATGCAATGGATGACCAAATCAATGCAACTTGCGGTTGAAGTAGGCTTAATTGGTGTTCGGGTCACTTTCCTAAACATTAGGTGGATATGTTTTTTGGTGAAATATGAAACTTTGTCAATTAGCTCGCGGCAGAGAGTTTGATGAGGTGCAGGTAAAATGCCAACCGAAATGCGTAATGGCGTACCTTTAGCGATATTTGATTTTCCTCTCACTTCTCTGCATCAGAATTAATGGTGCTAAATGAGAAAACCGTATGGCAAAATCTGTGCTTGTTGTGAGGGATATCACAATTTCCGAGTTTGAGATTCCACTTTGGGAAAAAGAGAAGTTTTGAACCGTAATAGGAAGGGTAATATCAGTGACTGTGACAAAGCCATTAGGGCTAGTCGTAACTAATGCCTTAACTGCAAATTGGTGGCTATATCTACGTTTTCCATTTTTCAGCTCAAGATTGGGAAGGATCGTCTTGCTCACTTCATCGAGGTAAATGAATCTTCATCGATAAACTGACTGCTTGAAATATTTTTTTTCCAGTTTTTATCCAAATCGTGAAAAGGATTGAAGGATGATGTTAGATAGTAACTGAATGTCGAAAATCGTTTTTAGAATGCCCATCAAGCTGCGAGTGTAAGGAGTTTGGTGAAGTATACGACAAGAGGATTCTGGTTATTGGAGAAAAGTTGCTGGCTGTACCGAGTAATCTTCCTTCAAATACTGGAGCAGTGTATGTTTAACCGTTTTCCTGGTTACCATCATTATCACTACTCATTATACTTACAATCACCCAGTCCTTCTGCTTACGTACACGAACTAATTAAAGAGATTCGGCTTGATGTCTACGGCAATGGTCAAACGGCAAACAACAATATTGAACTCGATAGCGCCTTTTTCCAGCCTTTTGCTTTCTGAAGTGGAAATATTTTGACGTGAAAAAATAAGATCTATGTTCACAAAAGGTTATTAAACAAAAAACCGATCCTAATGTTTTGTTCATTTTAGGGTTAAAGGAAATTTAAGCAGTAAACGTCATGCGTAAAATCTCTATATTGTTTACGTGCACACATTAAGCTGTTTATTGATAATTTTGGCAAGGGAGATTACTCTGAGGGACTTTTTTTCCTCTCTCAATCATTTTGTTCAGTGAATTATAGCCTGCTGCTAAGGTTTCCTTGATTATTTACTTAAGTTCAAGTTCAGGTGATTCTGTATGAAGGCCATATTTTTACTGTACAAGATAATGTGTCTCTATTACAATCATATTTACCAGGGTTTTTGGTCAAAATTGGATCTCTCAACTTCGCGAGAAGGAGTTTTCAGACCTTATAACACTCGAGTATATGTGAGTTGAACGCCATATTCTCTGTTTTTATAAATGTAGTTTTAGGTTTTCCTTGAAATGCGAAAACCTTTAAGATGTCAAATAGATGTATGTATGTTTAACCAACCCTCTGATTCTTCACGCTATCTTAAGGTTCGCTGAGACAAAAATGATATATTTCATAGTGTACCACGAATTTTATTCTGCGGTCTGCAGAGCATAATTAGAGTAGGACTCTCCATGGTTCTGGCTACATTCAATACCTTGAAAGATCTCCGAAAACAAGTTGAATAATTCTACTTGAAAAACCATACATTTTAGAGATATCAAATTAATAGGTTACATGTTCTCTTTAAAACAGTGACCTTAGCTTCAATAATCTGCTCTACCTGGATGAAGAGTGTTTTCATAACGTATCTTCTGTTACTACGCTGTGAGTATTTGATGGCGATTATAGTTTAATAAATATGAATTAGTGCATTCCAGAGAATCCTTAACAATAAATTTGTTAGCGAAGTTGTCATCTTTCTCATCTCGAATGTCCCCATGGCTGATAGGGATATTCCTCCTCATTGCTTTATTCGAACCATTATTATCCTGAAGGCATCATGGGAGAAATGGGTGGCCAGGGTAACGTAGTATGCGTTGATGGGGTTGACGACGACTCCTCTAGATAAGACAAGTTTTAAGGACGTAAGAGAAAGCATAGATCAGTGCTCCAGAGGAGATCTTCTCAATGCATCCGTCTCGCATTATCGCTTAGATTTGTTGAAAGGAACTGTTAGAATCTTACTGACAGGCTTGCTTGTGTTCTCTGCAGGAGACTGAATTCTAACTTTCTTCGAATTCTTCCTATTGGAGCATTCAGCGAGCTCCCTAATTTAAAAGTCCTGTGAGTATATCCAAAGATAATCTCATTCTTTCACATTGCATAACATCATGAAACGACGATCGACAAGATCTTGATTGACTGGGCTCAAGAAACTGTCTATTTTATTTCAGTGACTTAGGAAGTAACCTTCTTAGCAGTATCAGAAGTGGAGCGTTTGATGCACAGTCAAATTTGAATGTTTTGTAAGTACTTATTTTCAATAAAATTTGAAAGCTGACAAAGATTGAGAAACTTTTAAAGCATTATTTTGGCTTTTTTTTTAGAGGTTTACGCGCAAACCAACTGACGAATTTGCAGTATGGCGTTTTTGACAACAAAAGCAAGATGACTCATTTGTAAGTAAAAGGTTTTCTTTTGTTCTAAGCCAATCGCCAAAGTCATACCACTGTTATTCAAAACAAACCGAAGGGTCATGATAAGGAGTTTAGTTACAAGGTGAACTGGAAGTCATATGTCTAACTTAATACTTTATAAACCATATTCGAAACGTAATAATGGACTTCTAATTTTTATAAGGTACCTTCAGGAAAACAAGCTGACAGCATTGCCAAATGGCTTGTTCAAAGATCTCTCGAAGTTGGAAGTCTTGTGAGTGCTGAAAAGCAAATTAATGTCTTCTCAAATTACACTATCTGCTGTAAAGGGAAAATTTGATAACTTCTTGTTCAAACCATGATAGTTTTCTTAATGGAATTTTGATTGTGCTTATTGTTTAAAGTAGGCTGAGAAGTGACATTGAGATGCACGTGAAGAGGGTTTTGGCTGAAACAAATTCGCCTATAAATCGTGTTGAGATTTTGTTTAATGTCTCTCATTCGACAGAAATCTAAGCAGCAATGAGTTGAAAACAGTGACAAAGGAAACGCTTCAAGGGCTCAGTGCACTGAAATATTTGTAAGTAGTTTGAATTTTCAGCCTTGAGGGAGTCTCCCTGTGGTAATTTCTCTCCACTGAAGTACGGTGTAGGTGTAATGTCCGTAGAATAAATGAGGTCAGTGGTAAAAGAGAAGTAAATTACAATGCTCGACCGGTCTGAGATTGAACCAAAGGACGTATTAACTATCAAACGCTTTTATTTGAGTTCACCCTTGTTCATCAGCTTAAGTGTGGACAATTCGTTTTCCAAATAGCTTAAGACCATTCTTTGTGCAATGATTAAGTATTACTCTTCTCCATTTGATCAAGCCTGTGTGCAGATATTCAACTTCAAATAAAAACTTTTGAACAGATCAATCAAGTGTTCTTCTTGCTTGATAAAAACAGGTACTTGGACAACAATAGATTAGCTAAAGTACCTACAGATGCATTCAACGAGCTGACTAGCCTCAAGTATCTGTGAGTATTTTACAATTGACATTGTAATAGCTACGTTTTTTTGTCTATCTAAAATGGATACTTCATAATGATAGAAATTGTCAGTCGACACTATATATGGGTATTTATATTATCCAACGTATCATTTCTTATTTGATTGATGACATTGTAGCTCAGATGTAAAGTGTTTTCGTCTTGAAAAATCCCCACAGGAAACTAGATCGTTTCATCCTTTGTTGCTACGCTAAGAAATCCGTGGAAGGTATTACTTGTGATTCTCCTTCTGATGAGTTCTCCAGCTGTGACGACCTCATGAAGAACAAAACGCTTCAGATCTGCATTTGGATTCTTGGAATCCCCGCCTTCCTCGGCAACCTTCTTGTCATAATATGGCGAATAGTTGATAAAGAAGAGAACAGGGTTCATTCATTCTTGCTAACAAATCTTGCCGTAGCCGACATGTTTATGGGTGTCTATCTTTTGACAATATCAATTGTGGACGCGAGATGGCGGGGTGAATATTTTAAGCATGACACAAAATGGAGGGCTGGTATAGGCTGTCAAATTATTGGAGTCCTATCCATGCTCTCAAGCGAGGTATCTGTGCTGATTTTAACAGTCATCACCATGGACCGATTTATTTGCATCATCTTCCCTTTCAAGTTCAAGCGTCTTACATACAAGTCTGCCGTATTCACCTGCGCAGTCGTATGGATACTTGGCGTAGTCATCTCCGTGATACCAATCACCGGAATAGACTATTTTTACGATAAAAGTGGTGATTTCGGTTTTTACGGTCGATCAGCTGTTTGCCTTCCTCTTCAGCTATCTGAAGGAACCCCTGCCGGCTGGGAATATTCCGCTTCTTTTTTCATCGGTTTAAACTTCGTTTCGTTCACGTTTATCTTGGTGGCGTATATCTTAATGTTTTGGACCGTCAAGCGCGCTGCCCGCGCTGTTCGATCAACGAGTATGAACAAAGAATCTGCCATGGCCAAGAGACTTATTTTTATTGTGATGACCGACTTCTGCTGTTGGATGCCTATAATAATTATCAGCATTTTGTCACTGACAGGAAATTTCTACGATCCGGACAAAATTGCCTTCGTGTGGATCGCAGTGTTTGTTCTTCCACTCAACTCTTCCCTTAATCCAATCCTTTATACATTTTCTACCGAGAGAACGAAACGAAGCTTAACCAGAAAGGGGAAAAATGTTACCGGCATGGTCATGAAGTCTCTGAATAGTCGCGCTCGAGGTGGGTCGAAAAATGGCAAGATTCACATTTTTATATTGAACTGTTATCACATTTTCCATGGACTTAATAGGCGATGATTTCTTTGAAAAAATGCACTTTTGTTTTTATATCTTAATACTTTCAAAATCTATACTACTCTACTCTGAAAGTTATTACAAGTTGCATATTTAAAAAGACCTCCCGGAGAGCTGAGAGCTCATTATGAAGTCGTCATGGTTCCTTATCTGAACCTTTTTTCCAAGTTGGCTACGAACTCCGTTACCGTGTCATCTTTTCCTGTCTATTTCTAGATCAATCTAAGGACTATTTGGGAACGTATGCTGAAAACACTTTAGTCTCTATTGCTGAATCCAGTCCTCGACCGGTTAAAAGAATTGTGGAAAAACAGGAACAGCAAAGTAAACAAGTGAAGACGAAGTTAAAGCTGATCGAAGTAGTGGATATCTTTAAAGAAGACACTACAGGAAAGCGTTCAACGGTAAGAACCTTTCAAAGATATATCACTGAACTTTTCGATAGATACCTACGGAAGTAAGTTAAAGGTAGGTTTCTAACGTAAATGTAGCCTTGTCATTATAAACCGACCATGAATACATCGACCGATATTTCCGTAAGTGCTCCTATGAACGGTCCTATTATGCAAACGCAAAACGATATTGCAAACGAGGAAATTGTGTCCCCTTGATGTCTCCTTGCGATGTAGGGTTACGTCACAGCTTGGTGCGAGGAAGAAGGAGTACTTGGTATGGTATTACTGAAGTACTTCGGAAAGGAAATGAAGGAAGACTGGACTCGAGAGATAGATATAGTTCAAGGTCTGTCTATTAATGAAGAACAGCAAGACAATCTTCTTCACTATCGCTGGCACTCTAAAGGTAAGTGAACATTTTTATTAAGAATGCATCTGACATTTCTGCACATGTATATGAAAAATATACACGTTTCGCAGATTTAGCTAAAGAAGGCGAAAAACCAAAATCCACAGCAAAACAGGAGAAGCTCTGAAGGGCTATAGTTTCTCGCTCAAAACAAGAGTGCCATTCATGAACGGAGTAAACTTAGTTGACGAGGTTTTGAATTGAAATAATCTAAATGGATCTGATGATCTTCAGTATAGTGGCTAAGTTACGTGTCTTAATAGGCAGATACAATCGAACGGCGTGCTTATACATACTAAGTAGCAAGGGGTGGAAGGAAAGGTGTAACGGAGTAGTCAGGTGCCAATAATGGTATGGCTTTTTTTAGTCTTCAATCTTTCCGCGCACTACAAGCTTTTCCTGGAAAAAGCTGATCACACGTGATTAATTCTAGGCTGATTTTCAAGTTTGACATATGTAAGGCTTGTGATACTTTATACTATATCGTAAGAGAGGCAAGGGATTAACAGAGTAGAAGTAAATACCTAGTTTTGCTTCAGATAACGGTGGGCTGCTAAATTTCTGAGTGGCCTTTTCATTATAGTGCTGTTGTTGATTTTCAGCGTCTGAACAGAGTATCGAACATGGCAAGAAGAAGATTCATGGGATACAAGAAAGTAGTTGGTAGGTTATCATTGGCGTAACTCTGTTCATTTAATTTACGGTAATTTAAACTGTAGTTGTCTCGTTATACCAAAGTAAGAACATGACCGATGAAACTTTGAATTATTTTAACTTAATTTAATTTTCATTTTGTAATCCTTGTTAACATTGTGAGTGTTGATTGATTCCAAAATTTTTACCTTACGTTCTCCCCTTAATTAACTCTTCATTTCCTTCTGAATTTTTTAAGGCTCATTTGTTACGATTTTGAGTCGAACTCCACTTTAGAAGATTTTCTTTCGGAGAAAGGGGTTGTTATCGACCTCGACGCGGTATGCGCTGTAGCTTGCGACGTCATCACCGCCATAGAACATCTTCTGGATCATGGAATATCTCATAACAACATCACAACTGGCAACATTTTGATCAGAAAGTGTCCGAGAGTGAGTAGATTACTGATGTTTTAGGCCATCAAATTATCCTCGCCTAATCTCGCCTAAAGTCTCTCACGATAGATGCGTTGTGGTGCCAACTCATGTCTAATGAACAATAATAGATGAAATGTAGAAGAAAATAAAAACCGTGTGTCTTAATGTGCAGGACAACGCTTTTGAAATGGGTTTCACCTGAGAAAGTTTTAAAATCGTTTTTGTACACCCCTTCCATACATGTCGAGCCTCATTTGATATTCATCTAAAATTAGTGTTTTTGGACTGGCTAGCAAGTGAGCTAGTGTAACGAAGTAACAATTTCACCCAAGAGCGTGACCAAGAAAGCTTTTAAGCGTGCAAATAAAAGATTGACGATTATTCCCGCCGTCACGAATGAGGTCTATGAATTTGACACGATCGACGCGTTTTACAGGTACCTCCGATCAAAGCCGTTCTGGGTGGATTTTCTCAAGCGTCTAAAGCAAATGATGCAGGTGCGTTCACAAACTCGGCGGCCGACAAACAGAGTTGCCATAGCCACGACATAAAGCAGTTCGGACATTTACTAGCAACCTTACTAGGACACTGCCATGGCTCCAGTGAATACGTTAAGGTAATTATTATGAAGTCAGTGTCAGCTGGTATTTATGACGACCTAGAAACAGCTTGGTTGATTAGCAAATACTGATCCCTGGTTAAAGCAAACGGTCAAGATTAAGAACCGCTCGTAGATAATTTACCACATTTTAATTGGTTTCCTTAGCTTTAGTAAACACGATAAGCTGGAATCTATTTTTTTTAACTATTCAGTGATACTTAATTAACTGCGGTGCAGCAGGATTACGGAAAAAAATGACCTTGACAAGTGTTCAAGACCACACCGGTCTATTTTGTCGAATTATCCTGCCACGTAAAGGGCGTTGTTATCGTTAATCTCGCCATCAGTCTCATGGTAAAAGTTTAACTCTTCTCTTGATCCAGCAACAACAAATGTCTATGCTTTGTATAAAGCTGTAAGTAAAGATACAGTTCTTTTATGCAATGTACATGAAGCTGCCTGATTAAAAGCATAACTTTCTTTTTTTTTGTTCATGTTCTGTAGTTGCATGAGATTATGAACCTGTGTTTCGAGGATACAGAGGAGAAGAGGCCCACAGCATGTTACGTCCGCGAAGTATTGGAAGAAACCTGGTGCGCTGAGGGGGTTTGGGATACATACCTATGAGGAAACCAAAGAAAAATATCGAAATCATCGATTCAATCGCATTTGGTACCGAGGTTTAAATGGTTGTATTAGTGACATCATCGATTTCTCTGAGTATTCCGTAAGTTTTTTTTTCCACTTTTAACTTGCGGTTACTGGAACAAGAAAGGCTTTTCGACGATTTGCCTAACATCAAAAAATTTGCTGCATTAGTGCTTTTTACTATGTGCAGGGTACTGTAGAATCATATAACCATTGCATTACTGCGTGGGTTATTATGATGGTAAACGGATAGAAAGTCAGGAGTTCACTTTAAAATATTTTATTGAAAAGCTGCTCAGTGTATATGAAGCTCGAAAGCATTGATTCAGGGTGAAACGCCCGAGGCTTCCAAGGAGGATTATCGGTCCTCGTTATATTTTAGGTTTACTAATTTCGATGAATCAATTAATTGACAAAAAAATAGACTATGTTTAATTCAAGTCAAAATGAAAATGAAAATAATAAATGAAAGATGATAATGATAACGATAGTGATAATGATAATAAAAATGATTATTTAGTTAGAGAGCACTTAGTCAGTGACAGGGACTCTCACATTTTCAAGTATCTGCAATATTCTGCGCATTGTTGTGCTTTGTGTTTAGCATATCGTTCCATGTTTTAGATCACGCCTCTACCGGTTTTCAACTCAAGATAAAGAAGCTATTCATATTCAAAGAGAACAACCATCCTTGAATCAACAACTACACTATGTAAATCTAAAACTGTCTTTTTAATTGTGACACTTTTATGCTTTACCTCTTTTCTTGTTGTCAATGTTTATCATAATAAGCATTGCTCTTCTTACTATAAAAAATGACGATATTGATAGCAATATGTGACGAAGCTTGAGACGAAATTATTCAAAATGGCGGCCATTCAGACAAATCCAAGATGGCGCCAAAACAGATTATGGGAACAGGTCAATGTGCGGGGATTTAATGAGATGTAAGCCGTATAGGTATCTGTGGGAATTTTAGGTAATAGGAGGGGGTAATGCCACGCGGTAGTGCGATTTGGAATTGGAAGGGAATAAATAGTCGGTGTCCTTAATCATTTTAAAGAAACCAATTGACGGGCAGGAACCCAACAATCGTGCTTGGTCGGATAGCCTTGCCAGGGAACCAGAACTTCTGCTCGTGCTCCTTTACCTCGACGACGATGAAATTTCTCCACACAAAACAAATGATCCTTAGACAAATTACTTTTTGTTAACTCGGTCTCGTAAAAGGTGCCTTTATTCAGTTACCCGTCGCATTTATAGACAGGTGGATCCCTTGGTATTCTCTGCGCCACTGTAAAGGTCTGTTCGCTTCAGTTAGGTAGGTATGATACGTGTTTGTGCTTACTGATTTTAACTTGGTCACCAACTTTGAATTCATACTCAACTGGAGAAGGACGCTCACCATATACGGTACGCCACACTTGCTGGGCATTCTGGACTGCTACTTGTGAGGGTTTCGTTTTAATCGAGCGCGGGATGAAATGTTTGGTTGAAATTGTTATTGACGAGATCACTTAGTTTATCCAGGTAGTGTTAGGAATTGCTTGAGGTAAACATCTGCCACATCATTTGCTTTAGGGTACGATTGAATCTCTCGACAAATTGAGCCTTGATCACGTTATACGTGACAAAATGGTGAACGTGATGCTGCTTTAGAAAGGTCTCTGAAAGGTCTCTGAAAGGTCTCGTCTTTTAATTCTGTACCCGTATCGTCTAGCTGACGACCTGCTCAAAAGATCTTCATAAAAGCTTTGACCAGTTCTAACCCTGTCTTAGTTTTCAACGGAATCGCTTAGGCAGATTTGGATAAAATATCAATGCAAATAAGTGTGTATTTGTATCCGCGGTTCCAATGGCTCAGGCTTTGAAGATCCACCCAATCCGCTTGCAATTTCTGCCATTTATCATCTAATCCGTTCACAAAAACTTTGTTGTGACGAAATCGTGCTCGAGCAGGACTGAAGTTGCAGCCACGCGATAACCTGTGAACGCGTTATACCATGCTTCTTGGCTGTTCGATACAACTTTTCTACTCCGCCTAACGCGGACGCATGGTTTGATTCATGGTACGGTTTCTCTAAAAGTCGGTTTAGGGTTTCGTAGGTTTCTTCTTCATTTTCGTTGGTGGCATCTCTGTAATTCATGTGTATTTCACCACCGCAACAAGTAACTTAAACATTTCAACCTCGGACACAAACCTTTTTGAAGACAGTGTTGGGGCTGAATTGACACAAAGACGACCTGTTACGCAACCAATGGGCTTTAACTGAAATGACGAGCAAGGTGCTCATCATTTCAGTTAGAGCACATGCACATGCCTTTTATTATCTGTTTGACCATCCATCAAAGAGAGGGATATTTCGTCGGATAAAGTACACAAAGAGGTGTGACTGGGATACATGTAGCTGTAAACCTTCCAAACTTCATGGTGTTCTGAGTGATTGTTGTAAATATAAGCTTCCAGCTATCTCCAGGCTGCTAAGTCATGCTGACTTGCATAACATAGAACTTTTCAGAACATTTCATCAAGTCACGCACTTATTATGTAATACTACTAAAATAGTTCTTATTTAAGCTTCTGGAATTTTCCAGAAAACTTTGTGAATATATATAGAGTCACTTATGTAGTAGTAAGAGTGGTTGTTTTTGTCGGAGCGACGACTGTTTTGAGGCTATACCTAGAGAGTTACTGACATTAGCGAGATTGTGTCCATGGTGAGCTAAGATATGGACTGTGGTGGGCTTGATTACGTTTATTGACGATAAGTATTGTACTGCTTTTAGGAGTCGCTCCTTGTTAAGAATGGCTGCCTGTCAGGATCGAGAATCGTCCGTCAACGACCATTTTGGTGAATTGCTCATATTTTGCCCAGCGATACCCTTTGGTAAACTATTTTCAAAAATCAAGTTTAAAAGTTCCGACGATTATTAAATTTTTAGAAATTGGCGAAAATTTGAAAACGCGGTTTAAGTGCGGTTTTCCGCCTATCAAATTGTCCAAAATTCACTGTAAAAACCAAGCTCCGTTGAAGGCTTAAAATGAATTCAATTAACACCAAACTTCACACGATATAATAAAAAGCCTTCCCATTCATTTTCGTTATGTTAATTTTTCTGTACACATTGATACTGAGAATTTTTAAGTCCTCTAAGCAACACCCTTAAAGAGCGCTTAATATGGAGGCAAAAAATAGGTGAAATTTAACGCGATAAAAGTGTACCTGGTACCTCACTTTTTAACTTTTTAACTTGATATTCGTAATATAATGATATTATTTATTTCCTGAGTAAAATTTGATGCTTTGAATCGGACCGCTTCCCTTCGAAAATACCGCAAATGTTTGTGTCCAGAGTGACCGAGATGATGTGTGTTGTGTAAACAAACGCCAATCTAATCATTCCTTCCCTGGTGGAAAAAGGTTTTAAAATAAACTTTAATTTTGGAAATTTTTGGCTAGTACTCTACAAAATATTGAGTAATAGGGAAGTCGTACATTCGGAGTTGTGTGAGAGCTGAGAGAAAATAAAATCACCGTCGAAAATGTTCTTACAGTCATTTCATCAATCACCATTATATGTATTACGATTAAGAAAATTGTATGTGACAATCTCTTGATCAGTCTGTTGAATGACTTTTAAACATTTCAGCTGCAAGGGCTTTGTTTTAGTTTGTTTTAGATATATATGTATATATATAAATCAAGAATTCCAGCGAATACAGAAGGAGAACAGCATTCTTTACGAGTAGTCCAGTGTATTAAGGCGAATTGTTCCTAATTAACCGACATCCGGTCCCAACAAACACTGGCCGCACCACATGAGACCGTAAATGGGCTGTCATCATGAAATATACCAAAGACTAAAAACAAAAACTTCACTCAAGGTCTGATAACTACACGGTAACACTTTTATACTTCAATCTCTGATTTACTTTCATTGAGCTTCCAACATTTCGCACCATTCAATCACAATTTTCACTCGTGGTGAGGCCTGCACGTCATCACTGCCCACGAAGCTCTTGCGTAAATGGTCTAAATTTCGTAACAGATCTAAGGAAAGTTATTTCACGGACGAGTCTTGAGCTTTCATACGTGCTCTCATCAGAAGTTATTATTTCTTGTCATTTTATGGCTCTCTGTAGCTATATAACGCTAGTTGGTAAGGTGACCCCTTGCGGGCGATCTCCTGATTATCCTGGTCAGGTGGAATGCATTACACTCGAGGATTGCTCGAAAGATGTAACTGGACATCTATCGACTCTTGGACTGAGTGCAGATGAAGGTTCTAGAACTGAAATGAAGCTGCTATTAGCCAGAGCCGGTAAATATTGATTTTGTGTGTTTCCAGGTAACTTTACTGTGCTTATGAATGAGTCCTGCAACAGATTCAAGTGGTTTTATATTTTTTACAGGTGTTTTCTCATTTGAACAAAAACATCTTACCCTGACTATTTGCCCACGCCATAGGGCAGACTTTGGCATACGTTGGAGGACTAGGAAAACCCTTTGTGCAATTCCCAAGGATCTAGCAACACATAAGTCCTCGAGTGCCAAAGGAAGCAACTGTGTGGATAGCCGAAAATCGATGTATATTTTTTGCAACTCCTACACCTTAGTTCCAGTTGGGTCGCGTAATTTGAATTGCTTCTGTTGATAAATGTTCTCATAAAATTATTTTTTCTCACGTTTTTTTGTAATACCTTACACAAAAAAAACACCATAAGTTTCAACTTTCTCAAGCTAGCATATTTTATATCAGTGAGGAAACTTTGCAATTTATATTGCCAACTTTTTTTTCTCGTCTGAGTAGCTGATTATCCATTGATTGATGACTGATTGATGACTTTATACCTAGGAATAGTAATTGATTTAAGTTATTTAATTTTTTTTTAAAGCAATTTGTACGCGATGCGACGAGTTCATCTGCGGGCAAGTTGCAAATGAACAGACGCCGGTGGAGGGCGCTGGAGCAAGTAT